AGAAGCTAGCTGCTCAGGAGAAAGCAGAAAGATTGCACGGGCAGCTAACCATTAAATCAGAAGGATGGGGGAACAGATCAATACAAAAGATGGAGGAACTGATCAATATGAGAGGGAGGTCCTTGAACACAAGAGATCTCACAGGGGGATTGGAAAGAGAAACAGCCAGACCAAGAGATATCCACCACCTCCAGTGGGTTGGAGAGATGCAGTGTATACTGGAAATGACAACCTTCTTCAAGCCTTCTCTAGTAATGTTTATCTATCATCCTGTTGCTTACTGTTTCCCTCTGTGTATGTTCTGGTATGCAGCTTCCTTTACTCTGTGGTTCCTGAGAAGTTATAAAAGGGGCTGCAGGTCACATGATCACTACAGATACACTACACAGACTACTACATACTACTTCAGACCTCAGATCATACACTTGCTTGCTGTTTTGCTGTAAGAGCTGTTCTAGCTGGATGGCACAGAGAATTATCTCAAACATATCTGAAACTGGACTGATAGGTTTTGTAGCTGTGTATGCTGAACACATGAAGGCTGTGAGTAAACCAAATATGTTATGTTTATCAAAGTCCACTTCATTTTTTCTCTTGAGTGCATTATATAAAACAAGTTGTTTTATGGGACTGTGTGTGTGTATGGCATTGAAAGTACTGACAAATCTCTGTTTTCCTAACAGATCAGAGATAACAGGTTATTCAGTCTGACAACTGAAACCATAGCCTAGCATAATTATATCTAGTTGTACACCACAATGGAAGATTCTACTCTAAACCGTTTTTGGCTCTTCTCTGAAAGGTTATGCTTTTCCAAAAAGGTTATGGTCTCCAAAAGGTGTTTTCCCAAAAAGTTGTGAATGCCATTTTCAAAAACACTATACACATTACACAATTAAATGACAACATTTCTTTTTTCCCTGAAACATATTTCTTTTTTTAAAAAAAATTGATTCATAATACATAAAGATATTGTTCCATTCTCTGTGCAGGGCCACTAGGAGGTGCTAGAGGGAGAAGAATAGTCTATGGGGGGGGGATTGATGGAGGAAAACCATTTTCCTGTTTGTGGGGGTCATTCCCCCCCCCCCATTCCTATATCATAAACAAGGGTTGTTTCCATGGCAGGGACATGGGTGGGGGGAATAAAAGGAAAAGGGGGATTTTTTCCTCCTTCCATCCAGCCTCATAAAATGGACTATCCTTCTCTTTAGTGCCCCCTAGTGGCCTCCACCCAGATAATGGAACAGTAACGGTAAAGATAAAGGTTTTCCCCTGACATGAAATCTAGTTGTGTCCAATTCAGGGAGTGGGGGTGGTACTCATCTCCATTTCTAAGTCGAAGAGCTGGCATTGTTCATAGACACCTCCAAGGTCATGTGGCACCCAGAGTGCATGGAGCGCCATTACCTTTCAGCTGGAGCGGTATCTATTGATCTACGCACAGTTGGCCACATATGGTTGTCTTCCAAGGGAAGTCTTGGAGGTGAACCTGTAAGTGACTGTGTAGAGACCTATTCTGGATATGTATGGTCTTTCACATTGAGGACATAGATTTCTGGGTGGAAGATGGTCACGACAAGGTTTGCTTGGCACACCTTCATCTTGTCATATGTTGTACTTTTTCTCTCTTTTTCGTGCCTCTTCAAAATCCATAGCTTTGTTGGTAACAGTTGACCTCCAATTACAACACTCAAGTGCCAGGGATTCCCAGTTTTTGGTGTTTATGCCACTTTTAAAAAGTTAGCTTTGATCCCATCTTTAAATCTCTTTTTCTGTTTGCCGACATTCAATTTTCCATACTTGAGTTGAGAATAAAGTAGCTGCTTTGGGAGATGGTGGTCGGCCATCTGGTCAACATGACCAGTCCAGTGAAGTTGATGACAAACAAGGTGCTGCAACATCCCTTTGCATACTCTTTAGAAACAGTTGTTAACATTTAGTAAAACTTTTTTAAAAAGTAACTGGACTTAGTTCTGGAAAATCACTGGATTTTTAACAAAAACAAGAACATCACAAGACTAAGCTCTTAGCCTGTATTACAAAGGCCATCATTCTTCTGAGACAAGCCAGCCCTTGAATCAGAGGTTTTTCCTTCTCCTTGGACATTTAATTCTGCTCCTTTTTTTTTTTTTTTTTTTTTTTTGTGGTCGTGTTAGGAGCATCCTGTTGTGAGAGAATTGGTCGTCTGCAAGGATGTTGCCCAGGTCCAGATGATTTTGATGTTTTATCATCCTTGTGGGAGGCTTCTCTCATGTCCCCGCATGAGGAGCTGGAGCTGATAGAGAGAGCTTATCCGCCTCTCCCCGGATTCGAACCTGCAACCTGTTGGTCTTCAGTCCTGCCGGCACAGGGCTTTAACCCACTGCGCCACTGGGGGCTCCAATTCTGCTCCTGTGGCTGCACTACTACCTCTGAAGTTCAGAGATGCACTGTATGAGACCTGTTATTCCTCATCAAGTGAGATAAGTAAAGCATGTGCAGATGAGGGTCAAGAAGATACTGGATAGGAAAACAGAAGCAGGAAAATGTGTTGTCGAAGGCTTTCATGCCCAGAATCACTGGGTTGCTGTGAGTTTTCCAGGCTGTTTGGCCATGTTGCAGAAGCATTCTCTCCTGACTTAATGTATGGTACACATTAAGGGAACTACTGACCAAATAGGGAAGCTGATGAAAAAACACAATCTACAAACCATCTATAGGCCCACTAAGAAAATCCAACAAATGCTATGTTCAGCAAAGGACAAGAGGGATCCTCTCACTTCTGCAGGAGTCTACCGGATACCATGCAGCTGTGGACAAGTCTACATAGGGACCACCAAGTGCAACATTGCCCAAACATGAATCAAGGTACATGAAACACACTGCAGACTGACTCAACCAGAGAAGCCAGCCATAGCAGAGAACCCGATGAACCAACCTGGACACAGCATATTATCTGAGAACACAGAAATTCTGGACCACTCTAACAACTAACATGTCATGCTACACAGAGAAGCCATTGAAATCAACAAGCAAGTGGACACTTTCAACAGAAAGGAGGAAACCATGAAAATGAACAAAATTTGGCTACCAGCATTAAAAAAAACCTCTAAAATCAGGACAGCAAATAAAGAACAACACTCAAAAACAGGGGAATTCCAGACAAGAAACAATCAGGGCCAGCCAACACCTTCCAACAAAGGCTATTCAATACTAATAAATATGATCAATTGCACCATTGGCACTTGTGTCAAACAGACAAGGGTCTTTTCCCCCTCCCACCCTGGACATTCCACAGATATATAAACCCCACTTGCCTAGTTTCCAGCAGATCTCACACTCTCTGCAACAGATGTGGGCAAAACGTCAGGAGAGAATGCTTCTGGAACATGACCATACAACCTGGGAAATTCACAGTAACCCAGAAGCAAGAAAGTTAACTTTTCTTCCAGGGAAGAAAGTCCAGGCTGCTTGTGATGTGCATCCTGAGGGAATGTGGGACACACAGTTCTGGGCTCTCCAGCATACTGTTGGTTGGAGAGAGAGTCAGTAAAGGACACAATGTATCACTTCAGAGAGGAAAAAGTTAGTAAAAGGTTACTTTTTATTGGGGGATTGTTACAAAGAGGCTAGGGGAAGTTAATATAGAGAGAAAGAAAGTGTTCTTTGTTGAAGCGGTTGCTGGTGCCACTGTCCTGCAGACTCTTAGAAAACTTGTACTTCCAGGAACTGTGGAACTCCCTGCTGTGGTCAGATCAATTTGAAGGCAGGGGTCTCCATGTTTGGTGACACAGTGGTCCCTGGTCAAAGTGGTCCCTGGTCAAAGTGGTCTCTAGTCAAAGTGGTCCCTAGTCCAGTGGTTCCTAGTCAAGTGGTCCCTGGTCTAAGTGGTCCCTGGTCCAGTGGTCCCTAGTCAAAGTGCTCCCTGGTCAAAGTGATCCCTGGTCAAAGTGGTCCAGTGGTCCCTAGTCCAGTGGTCCCTGGTCAAAGTGGTCCAGTGGTCCCTGGTCCAGTGGTCCCTGGTCTAAGTGGTGCCTGCTCAAAGTGGTCCCTGGTCTAAGCGGTCCCTGGTCAAGTAAAGTGGCCCCTGGTTAAGTGGTCCCTAGTCCAGTGATCCCTGGTCCAGTGGTCCCTTGTCTAAGTGGTCCCTGGTCTAAGTGGTCCCTAGTCAAAGTGGTCCCTTGTCTAAGTGGTCCCTTGTCCAGTGGTTCCTGGTCTAAGTGGTCCCTGGTCGAAGTGGTCCCTGGTCTAAGTGGTGCCTGCTCAAACTGGTCCCTGTTCAAAGTGGTCCCTGGTCTAAGTGGTGCCTGCTCAAAGTGGTCCCTGTTCAAAGTGGTCCCTTGTCTAAGTGGTCCCTTGTCCAGTGGTCCCTGGTCAAAGTGGTCCCTGGTCAAAGTGGTCCCTAGTCCAGTGGTCCCTGGTCAAATTGGTCCCTGGTCAAAGTGGTGCCTGCTCAAAGTGGTGCCTGCTCAAAGTGGTTCCTGTTCAAAGTGTTCCCTGGTCTAAGCGGTCCCGGGTCAAAAAAAGGTTGAGAATCACTGGTATAAATATTAAACAATAAAGGAGCAAGCACACTCCCTTGAGCGATGGGGGATCATCTGGGGACCCAAATTAAGTAAAACCTAAAAAGCATGGACCACTATGTGAAAAGATTTTCCCCTCTGTATCCACGGATTCTCCATATTTGGATTCAAGGGCAACTCGAAAGCTGGTGTGGCCCTTGATGAGGATGAGGTTGACCTTTGGGGTTTGAGCTTGAGCCCATGGCAGCCTTTGGGAACACTGGGCGGCCTCTTCTTGCTCCCCAGCAGTTCCCTGGGCCATTTCTCTCGGGGCAAAGGCTGCTCTCCGCCTTCGAAAGGCCTTCCTCCTCCTCCTCCTCCTCCTCTCCTCCTCCTCCTCCTCCTCTCCTCCTCCTCCTCCTCCATGGGGCCGGAACTGGGGGACTCTTACGGCGGAGGGGCGCCGCCTATAAAAGCCAAGGAAGCAGGCAGGAAGCAGCCCGCCGGGTGCAGTCTTTCTCTCTCTCTCTCTCTCTCTCCCGCTCTCTTTCCCGACTTGTGCCGCAGCTCCGCCAAGTGCCCATTCCCCTCTCCTCCTCCCTCTCCATCTCCTCCGGGTCCTTGGCTTCTCCGTCGCCCCGATGCCTCCCAACCTCACGGGCTACTACCGCTTCGTCTCCCAGGATAACATGGAGAACTACCTCCGCGTCTTAGGTGAGCACAGCCGCTCCCCTCGGGTTTGGGATTCCACCAAGACATACGGGAACCAATCAAGGCTGCCTTGGGGCATGTGCAGAGGGCGTTCTCAGCACCCCGACCAAGCTGATGTTACTATTATGATTAGCTTAGGGACCCAGCGATGGCCAGGTTAGGGATTTGGTAAGGAGAAGGATATGCATTGTTAGGTTTTGGATCTTAAGAATGGACCCATTAGGAAATGTTATCAGGATGTGGGTAAACTACAACTCCCAACATTCTGGATCAACACCCCCCCCCCAAAAAAAAATTCCACAGAGATTGAAATGTGGATTCATAGAGTTGGAAGAGACCTCATGGGCCATCCAGTCCAACCCCCTGCCAAGAAGCAAGAAATTTGCATTAAAACCACTCCCGACAGATGGCCATCCAGCCTCTGTTTAAAAGCCTCCAAAGAAAGAGCCTCCACCACCTTCCGGGGCAGAGAGTTCCCCTGCTGAACAGCTCTCAGTCAGGAAGTTCCTCCTAATGTTCAAATGGAATCTTCTTTCTTGTAGTTTGAAGCCATTGTTCCCCACCCTGGCCTCCAGGGCAGCAGAAAACAAGCCTGCTCCCTCCTCCCTATGACTTCCTCTCACATATTTATACATGGCTATCGTGTCTCCTCTCAGCCTTCTCTTCTTCAGGCTAAACATGCCCAGCTCTTTAAGCCGCTCCTCATAGGGCTTGTGGAAGGATGGGTGCTTGTTTTGCAGTTTGTAAGGGCGGGCCAAAAAGTTTTGCCTCCTGTGTCATAAAAACGTTATGAATGAACCTCTCACAGCAGAAGTTGCTCCAGATCATAGCCTGAACTGTCCTCTACACAAAACTACCGTTCAACATAGTCACCATCCATTTGGACATATTGGCACCATCGTTTAACCCAGGCATCGAAATCATCTTGGAAAAAAAGCAGGGTTTTGCTTCGTGATCCATGATTTTAAAGCTGTTTTAACATCATTCAAGTCATTGAATCTGGAACCAACTTAGGTTGTCTTTCAGGGGTCCAAACCAGTCAAAGTCAGAAGGGGCCAAATTATAGCCATTCTTCAAGCAATTATGGATTTGGGTCGCTGTGAGTTTTCCAGGCTATATGGCCATGTTCCAGAGGCATTCTTTCCTTTTGTCCACATCTATGGCAGGCGTCCTCAGAGGTTGTGAGGTCTGTTGGAAACTAAGCAAGTGAGGTTGATATATCTGTGAAATAATGTTCAGGGTGGGAGAAAGAACTCTTGTCTGTTGGAGGCAAGTGTGAATGTTGCAATTGACCACCTTGAATGGCCTTGCAGCTTCAAAGCCTGGCTGATTCCTCCCTGGGGAAATCCTTTGTTGGGGGGTGTTAACTGGCCCTAATTGTTTCTTGTCTGGAATTCCCCTATCTTCTGAGTATGGTTCTTTATTTGCTGTTATGATTTTAGAATTTTTCAATACTGGTAGCCAGATTTTGTTAATTTTCACGGTTTCCTCCTTTCTGTTGAAACTGTCCACATGCTTGTGGATTTCAATGGCTTCTTTGTGTAGTCTGGCATGGTAGTTGTGAGAGTGGTTCAGCATTTCAGATAATATGCTGTGTCCAGGTTGGTCCATCAGGTGCTCTGCTATGGCTGACTTCTCTGGTTGAAGTGGTCCGCCTTGCCTTTCATGTTCCTTGCTTCATGTTTGGCCAATGCTGCTTTTGGTAGTCCCTATGTAAACTTGCCCACAGTTGCAATGTACATGGTAAACTGCTGCAGAGATGAGAGGACCTCTCTTGTCCTTTTGATTATGGATTTCCTTCTCGGTGCACAACCTTCTTTTGCCAGAAATTAAATGACAACTCTTTTAACTTCAGATTCATGGTTCTCATCAGTCAATCTGGAAAAAGAAAAGACTATCAGTAGAGTAAGGTTACCGCTATCCTATCCTGCATAGATAATCCAGTAGCTGTGAAAGAAAGAAAAGTTAGAGCAGTGGAGGCATTACTTTTTGACCCACCCACATACATATGTAATTGTGATCTAGGATGGCATTTAATTTCATTGTATGCTTAAGCAGCCAAGGGGGAAAAGGATGGGGCTGTTAGGAATTCTGGGAGTTCAAGTCCAAAACACCTCGAGGGCCCAAGTTGGCCCATGCCTGGGTTAGGCTCTTAACTAGTCTGTTGTTTCCCACCCGCAAAATAAAACTGGATCACAAAACTTTTATAACTGGCAGAAATGGACAAGTCGTCTTGCTTGATTAAGGCAATGTCAACTGATACCTTTTTGAAAAGAATGGGAACCATTGATACAATTCATAAAGAAAAAGAAGGAAAGCTTAAGACTCTGGCAGGTTTTGAAGATTAAAAAATAAGATAATAAAGTAGAATGAAGAAACTGTCTAAAATGATTGACGGGAATATAACCATTTTACTTTCATTCTGATTGTTATTGTTTTTCAATGGGAGGGTTTAAATGGATGCTTATAGCGATACAAATCAGAGGAGGGGAATAATTAACTTTATAAATACACTAGCTTTGGTACGCAGTGTTGCCCGGTTTTTGTTTTTTGTTTTGAAATAGTCAATGTTGTTAATTGTACAAAATGCATAAGGGTGTGGGTGAACTACAACTCACATAATGCCACGTTAACCCTGAAAAACTTCATCAGTACTTAAAGTTTCTTCTGTTGGGCAAGTTTGCTCTAGATGCATTATTGGTGGGGTTCAGTGTGCTCTCTAGTTGCAGGGTAAACTACAACTTCCGCTATGGTGAGTCAAGTTGAATTAGTCTTGGGTGTTCTGTGTGCCAAGTTTGGTCCTGGTCCCTCATCGGTGGAGGTTACAGTTTCTCTGGTTGTGAGTGAACTACAAATCCCAGAAAGGAAGGTTAGTCGTCGTCCCCCCCCCCCCAATACACCTCCAGTAATTAAATTTTGGCATATCAGGTATGCGTGCCAAGTTTGGTCCAGATCCATCAGTGTTTGGGTTCACAGTGCTCTCTGGATATAGGTACAACTCCCCCAAAAGACATCCATTATTTTTTGCTGGTTATGGGGGCTTTATGTGACAAGTTTGGTCCAATTCCATCTTTGGTGGACTTCAGAATGCTCCTTGTTTGCAGGTGAATTATAAATCCCAGTACCTACAACTCCAAAATGCCCAGGCCAATTCCCCTCAAAACCCACCAATATTCAAATTTGGGCATATTGGGCATGCATGCCAAGCTTGGTCCAGATCCTTGGTTGTTTGTGTTCATAGTGCACCCTGGATATAGGTGAACTATAACTCCTATAAATCCCTCCAAAGACCTCCAGTGGTTTTTTTGTTGGTCATGGAGGTTCTGTGTGCCAAGTCAGTTTCAGGTCGATTGTTGGTGGAGTTCAGAGTGCTCTTGGATTGCAGGTGAACTATGCATCCCAGTACTTACAACTCCTATAAATCATGGTGAATTCTCCCCAAACTTCTCTAGTATATTCCGTTGCTGTGTGCCATAGAAAGGAATAGAAAAGAGTTAAGGGAGAGGCAGTGGGCGGGCTCATGCAAATCCCACACCAGTGGAGAGAGTCAGAAATACTGGGATGTCTGTGGTGGAGGCATAAAATTTAGGATGGAAATGTCTCTGTTTGAAAGCCTTCACTTAGGTGGTGGGCAGTATGGTGTTTGTGGAGGACATTGACATGGCTCTTGTATATGTTTACAGTGCTCGCAGTAACCTGCAATGCCATCGGAGGGAGGGGCATTGGTGTCTCCTGAGTAATGGGAGCTATTGCTGTTTGTGGAGGCAGGAGCCTGTCTGTGGAAGTGGACACCCAGACATACAGACACATACATACACATATACATATTTTCACTTTTGTTATGTGTGCAGATAGATGGATTGTATAATCATAGAGTTGGAAGCGACCTCATGGGCCATCCAGTCCAACCCCTTGCCAAGAAACAGGAAAATTGCATTCAAAGCACCCCCAACAGATGGTCACCAGCCTCTGTTTAAAATTGTCCAAAGAAGGAGCCTCTACCACACTCTACCACAGAGAGTTCCACTGCTGAACAGTTCTCTCAGTCAGGAAGTTCTTCCTAATGTTCAGATGGAATCTCCTTTCTTGTAGTTTGAAGCCATTGCTCTGCATCCTAGTCTCCAGGGCAGCAGAAAACAAGCTTGCTCCCTCCTCCCTATGACTTCTTCTACCATATTTATTCATGGCTACCATGTCTCCTCTCAGCCTTCTCTTCTGAAGGCTAAAGATGCCCAGCTCTTTAAGCTGTTCCTCATAAACCCTTGTGCCAGCAGGATTGAAGGTTCAAATCTGGGGAGAGCACTGATAAGCTCCCTCTGTCAGCTCCAGCTCCCCATGCGGGGACATGAGAGAAGCCTCCAACAAGGATGGTAAGACATTAAAACACCTGGGCATCCCCTAGGTAATGTCCTTGCAAACGGCCAATTCTCTCACACCAGAAGGGACTTGCAGTTTCTCAAGTCGCTCCTGGCATGGAAAAAAAGCTGTCATGTGTAAACTGCCTTGAACAGGAGTGGGAGGAAGCAAGAGAAATGTTTGCAGTCAACTGTATTTTTGTTTCAGATGCCCCTTCCTTCCTTTCTTCCTGGGGTCAATGGTGGGGGTAAGAGAGAAATGGAGGAGAATAAATGAGATTTTTTTGTGCATGTGAAATATTACTGCATGTGCTCCCTTCTTATCTGTCCTACTTACCTCTTGTGTCATCCTGTTTAGACATCAATGTTGCTCTGAGGAAACTGGTTTGCCTTCTCAAGCCAGACAAAGAGATCATCCACAATGGAGACCACATGACTATCCGCACATTAACTTCGCTTCGAAACTATATCATGGACTTTGACCTGGGGGTTGAGTTTGAAGAAGACTTGGGCCCCGTAGACGGACGCAAGTGCCAGGTAAGAGACGGAAAAAAGCAGTGCCTCTGGGGTCACGGGATCAAGTCCGGTCTGTGTTAGAATGACGTCTAGAGCTCTGTTGCCAAATTTGTTTCAGATGACAAGTTCTTGGCCATGCGATGCGCTGGCTCAGTGGAGCTCAAAGCCTGGCCCGTGGTTCTACCTGACCGGCAGAAAGAAGGCCATTCACATGTTATGAAAAAAGTTCTCATTTGTGCAAAGACAAAAGAAAAAGTCCGATGAGTGGTCTATTCACTTGACTAGGGGGTTGTAGAAATGCTATTGATGGCCCCTAACGTGCTGCAATGCAAGAACGCTGCTCCTGTCTCTTCTCCCGTGTCCCCTCACTCACTCAGTGAGATAACCTGGGTGCAAATGATGGCTTTTTCATTGTGCAGAGTAGCCTTCAGGTTAGGTGAGGACTTCCCAACACGTGGGCCACCAAAATTCTGCATTGCCAAACACTTTATGACACACTAGCCGTTCCCTGCCATGCATTGCTATGGTCCAGTCTGTGTATATGTGTTTTGTGTGTATATTATGTGTTTATGTTTGTGTATATGTGTATATATGTGTGTGTGTATTTGTGTATATGTGTGTTTGTGTGTGTATATATATGTGTGTGTGTATGTGTGTGCTTGTGTATATGCATATATATGTGTGTGTATATGTATATGTGGCACAGTGGGTTAAAGCACTGAGCTGCTGAGCTTGTTGACCGAAAGGTCACAGGTTTGATTCCAGGGAGCGGCGTGAGCTTCCCCTGTCAGCCCTAGCTTCTGCCAACCTAGCAATTCGAAAACATGAAAAGGTGAGTAGATCAATAGGTACCGCTCCAGCGGGAAGGTAACGGTGCTCCATGCAGTCATGCCAGCCACATGACCTTGGAGGAGTCTATGGACAATTCCGGCTCTTCGGCTTAGAAATGGAGATGAGCACCACCCCCCAGAGTCAGACATGGCTAGACATAATGTCAGGGGACAACCTTTACCTTATATGTATATAGGTGTATGTGTGTATATGTGTATATTTGTGTGTGATTGTACATATATATATATGTGTGACTGTATGTATGCGTGCATGTGTATATGTATATTTCTATGTTTATATGTGTATATTGTGTATATGTGTGTGCTCATGTATATGCATATATGTGTGTTTATATGTGTATGTATGTGTATATGTATATAGGTGTATATGTATGTGTGTGTATATTTGTATATTTGTGTGTGCTTGCGTATATATGTGTGTGTGTCTGTATGTGTGCATGTGTATATATATATGAATGTATGTATATATGGTTTATTTGGGGGGATTTTAAAGTCCGTTCTGCTGGTATTTTTGTATGTTTTAGGGGTGATGGTCACTCACTGGCCTAATAGGTTTATTGTGTCCAAATTTGGTGTCAATTTGCCCAGTAGTTTTTGAGTTATGTTAATCCCACAAATGAACATTACATTTTTATTTATGTAGATATATGTCAAGCTCAAGGCCCATGGGGGTAAATCTCCAGACACTGGACTACAACTCCTGTATTCCACATTATTAGACATCATGACTGTTGTGCTACAACAGGCATGGGCAAACTTGGGCCCTCAAGGTGTTTTGGACTTCAACTCTCACCATTCCTAACAACCTCAGGCCCCTTCATTTTCCCTTCCTTTCCCCTTTTTAGGAATGGTGGGAGTTGGAGTCCAAAACACCTGGAGGGCCCAAGTTTGCCCATGCCTGTGATACAATAATATCTGGAAGAGTGCATTTGCTTAGTTAGGATAGTGGGGTTTCCATTTAGACCCAAGACTTGTAAACATGATGTCCAACTTTAAAATGTCCTTTAGCTTTTCCCCAACCTTAGAGCCACAAGCGCTGTGGAGTTGCAATTCCCATTATCCCCATTCCACATGACAGATAAATGTGACGAGAGTTGGCATTCAATAACATCTGGGGAGCCAAACAAATAAGTGCTGACCGCTATGTAAAAAACAATAATAGTTAGCCCTCTGTATCCATGGATATATCCATGGGATGTAAACAAACCCTGTCCCTGCATAAAGGGTAGGCTGGGGTTACTTTCTTTCTAAATGCCAGTGATTGACAGCAGCTTCTTTTTGCTAATGAAGCCTGGATGCAGGATAAGTACCCCTCCTTTGGCTAGGCACAGCTTTCAGCAAAGGTTCTTGAGATGAAGATGCCTGGCAGGAGAAGGTAGAGTGTTACATAAGAATAATTCAGGAACAAAGAACATCTTGAGTATTCAGAGTAATTGGCCTTCATTATCTTGGTCGTCCTTAACCAAGGGGTTGATTGGAAGGGAGGCTCAAAACATCTTGCCATTGCTTTAAAATAGGGGTGGGAATGCTGTTGTCTATTATTCTTATTATTACACTGTATTATTATTATTATTATTATTATTATTATTATTATTATTATTATTTGAAACACAACAAGATGAGTCCACAGCAGACAAGATCACTCTGCTGGCTGTTGTATTGGATAACACGTTGGGCACTTCCCAAGTGTCTAGGACTGTGTGATGTATTGGCAAATAATGTATGCAGATCCAAATAAGCTTGCAGCTTGCAGATGGTAATTTTGTCAGAGCCAATTGTGTTTAAGTGCAGGCCAAGGTCTTTAGGCACTGCATCCAGTGTGCCAATCACCACTGGGACCACTTTTACTGGTTTGTGCCAGAGTTGTTGTTGTTGTTGTTGTTATTCCCCTTCAGGGGAGATACAGTGTGGTATACATAAATAAAATAATAATAATATTAATTTTATTTATACCCCACATTTCCCCCTGAGGGGACTCAAGGCGGCTAGCAACCACACTCTTTTAAAACTATATATATATATAGTTTTAAAACTATATATATGTATATATGTATATGTATGTATGTGTATGTATATATATATGTATGTATGTATGTGTGTGTATATATATATATATATATATATATATATATATATTAAAATAAACACTTTAAATAGTATTGTGTACCTGGTTACAAAAACAGTTAAAATATAATAAATACAATTAAAATACATTTTAAACACATAATCCCCCTCCCAAAATCCCACTCACAACCTCCCCAGCAGCGTGCCTTAAAGGGTAAAGGTTTCCCCTTGACATTAAGACTAGTCTTGTCCAACTCTGGGGGGTGGTACTTATCTCCATTTCTAAGCCGAAGAGCCGGTGTTGTCCATAGATGCCTCCAAGGTTATGTGGCCAGCATGACTGCATGGAGCACCATTACCTTCTTGCCAGAGTGATACCTATTGTTCTACTCACATTTGCATGTTTTTGAACTGCTAGGATGGCAGAAGCTGGGGCTAACAGTGAAAGCGCACCCCCATCTCTGGATCTGAACTGCCAGCCTTTCGATCAGCAAGTTCAGCAGCTCAGCAGTTTAGCCTTCTGTGCCACCGGGGGCTCTTATCCTTCTCCAAATCGCTGCTGGTAGAGAAAGGTCTTATAATTGTTTAGTAGACAATTTCTACTAGAAAAGATGGAAACTGTAGTTCAACCAAATTTGGAGACCACATCCCTAATTTAGGACAAAGACAGTGAGCCCAGTTCCCCTTAGGTATTCTTCAGTACCAGCTTGAAAATCTCAAGACTACTGGCCAAGTTGATCAATGCTTATATGAGTTAGCAACTAAAACATTTGGAGAGCATCAAGTTGTTTGCCACTACTTTGAAGCACCATGAGCATCATGATTTTACCATCTAAATTGCACATGTAGTAGTTCTAACTCCAGTTTAAATCTAGGAGCCATGGTGGCGCAATAGGTTAAGCCCATGTGTTGGCTGAACTGCTGACGTGAAGGTTGGCAGTTTGAATCCGTGAGATGGGATGAGCTCCCATCTGTCAGCTCCAGCTTTCCATGCGGGGATGTGAGAGAAGCCTCCCACAGGATGATAAAACATCTGGGCATCCCTTGGGCAACGTCCATCAGATGGCCAATTCTATCACATCAGAAGCAACTTGCAGTATCTCAAGTCACTTCTGACATGATAAAAAAAAAGTTTGAGTCTGGACCACAGGAGGGAAATGTTAACACTCTTCCCAGGGTCTTGGGCTGGTTACACTTGCATCTTGCACTTACTCCAAAGCCAAATGAGCAAACATTTAGTTGTCAGTTGATGTCTATTCTATTCCGTTCATCAAATTTCATGGATGAGAAGGAATTTGATACAGCGCTCCTGTCAATCCTATGGCTCATCTATTTTCACCATTCAAAGCTAGCTTCAAACTGTGGATTTTTGGGTGTGTGTGTGTCAGGAATGACTTGAGAAACCTTGTGGGAGGCTTCTCTCATGTCCCCGCATGGGGAGCTGGAGCTGACAGAAGGAGCTCATTCGCACCTTCCCTGGATTTGAACCTCTGATCTGTTGGTCTTCAGTCCTGCCGCCACAAGGGTTTAACTCATTGCACCACCAGGGCTCCTTTCAAATTGTGGGGGCTAGATAGCACATATCAACAAAGTATGCTGCTGGAAAGGGCATCAATCAAGTTTTGGATATTGCAGATTCAGGAAGCAATTCAAGGCAGCCTTTCATAGCTAGTGTAATCACCTTCCTCAAACCTGTTCCTGGAATAGTATTCTAATAATCTGCACAGCAAAACCGTTTTCTACCAAACCAACCTCAATGTCCAGTGTAGAAGAGGCCCTAGTATCATGGGCCAGAGAGGGCCAATCCTTGCTTATCAGGCTTGATCAGTTTCCTGGTATGAACTACCTAATCACCCCGACTTGTCACCGGATCAAGAAAACCAGGGAGTTGTTAGCTGTATTATCCAAATGAGGACACAGTTGGCTTACTAATTGTTTCTTAGAGAAAGAACAGCATCATCATTTGGATAACACAGCAATCCTGCTACAAGTGGAAGTGACTGTACAATGTATACCAGCAATCCGTTCATCTATATAAATAAAAATGTAATGTTCGTTTGTGGGATTAATATAACTCAAAAACTACTGGTCGAATTGACACCAATTTTGGACACAATACACCTGTCGGGCCAACGAGTGCCCATCACTCATAAAAACACTGAAAAAGACAACAGAAGGGACTTTAGGAGCCAAAAAACCCCAAAAATACATTACAACACAGGGATGGTTCATCTATATAAATAAAAATGTTATGTTTGTTTGTGGAATTAACATAACTCAAAAACTACTGGTTGAATTTGGACACAATACACCTATCAGGCCAACAAGCGACCATCACTCATAAAAACACCGAAAAACACAGCGGAAGAGATGTAAAAAGCCAAAACACAAAAAATACATTACAACACGGGGACGGTTAGTCTATATAAATAAAAATGTAATGTTCGTTTGTGGGATTAACATAACTCAAAAACCAGTGGATGAATTGACACAATACACCTATCAGGCCAACAAGCGACTATCACTCTGAAAAACACTGAAAAACACAGCGGAAGAGATGTAAAAAGCCAAAAAACAAAAAATATATTACAACATGGGGACGGCTAGTCTATATAAATAAAATGTAATATTTGTTTGTGGAAGTAACATAACTCAAAAACCACTGGATGAATTGACACCAAATTTGGACACAATACACCTTTCAGGCCAACAAGTGACCATCGCTCATAAAAACACTGAAAAACACAGCAGAAGTGATTTAAAAAGCCAAATAATAAAAAATACATTACAATGTATGCACAAAACCATATATATACACATATACACAAATGTATATACACACAAAACACATAAACACAGACTGAGCCACAGCAATGCATGGCAGGGGATGGCTAGTATTTGATAAACCTGGGTTTGCAGGGATTCCTGGCTGACTGTGCAATTGTGTGAATGTTGCCAGTAGGTCAGTTCCTTCAGTTTTATGAGCATTCTCTACAACCTTTTCTAGGTCCTTTCCTTTGTATGGATGCAGCCATTTTCTAAGCACAAGCAGACCTCTTCGTGGAGACAATTTTCAGCAGCTTACATACATTCTGACCAATAATGAGAGAGGAGTCATTTCTTTGTTTTTGTTTGGGGATGTTTTGGAATTTCAAGTGGATCCTTGAGCCATTTTACAAACAAAAGGCACATGAGCCAAGTCTCACCTCCACTATATTTCATATCCTGTTCCAGTTCATTAAAAAAGCCAAAAGCACCTCTGGGACGCCTGAAATAGCATTTATAACATTGTTCTGAAATTGCTCCAGCTCAGGCCATAAAAGCTAGACGCCGGAGCCATATGAAAGCTGCGGGTAAAATGTTATTTCTAAAATTCTAAAAATGGGAATGACTTACTGTTCCCAGTAGGATTTTCACAATTTCAAGATACATGAAAACATGCTCTAGTGTTATCTGTTCAATACTAATGGCTTTTCTGGATATTGTGAAGATTGAGTCAGAATGCTGAACACTTAGAATGGTTCTGAGTGTTCAGACAATCCTTTGAATGCTAACGTTATCTTGTAACCTTTATAATAAGGTGAGAATTGTGTGGCCTTCCAGGTGTTATTGAACTCCAAACCCCCCAACCTTGGCCAGCATAGCCAGTGATCTGAAATGTTGGGAGTTGCAGTCCAAAACATCTGTAGAGTCACCTAGTTCCCAGCCCTACCTGACCAGGCAAGGGAATAATAATAATAATAATAATAATAATAATAATAATAATAATTGATTGTGTTAAGAAACAAAGTATGGATTATCAATGTTGCAATCCCAGGTGACAGCAGGATTGAAGAGAATTAACTGGAAAAGTTGGCACGATATGAGGATTTAAAGATTGAACTGCAAAGACTCTGACACAAGCCAGTCAAGGTGGTACCAGTGGTGATCGGCACACTGGGTGCAGTGCCTAAAAACCTTGGCCTGCAGTTAAACACAATCAACGCTGACAAAATTACCATCTGCCAGCTGCAGAAGGCCACCTTACTGGGATCTGCACGCATTATACACCGATCCATCACACAGTCCTAGACACTTGGGAAGTGTCCAACGTGTGATCCAATACAACAGCCAGCAGAGTGATCTTGTCTGCTGTGGACTCATCTTCTTGTGTTAATAATAATAATAATAATAATAATAATAATAATAATAATAATAATAATAACAATAACAATAACAATAATAATAAGTATTAGATATGTATTTGTATCATATTTCAGTTCTTGCACTATGTATTTAAATATTTTGTGATGATGTGTTTTAATGTATGTACAATATTTTATGATATGTATTTTATAGTGATGTGTTTTAACTGCTGTGCTCAGCCTCAAGCCATGAGGAGAGGTGGGTAACAAATACAAAGTTGTTGTTGTTGTTGTTGTTTGATGCACAACAATATTAGTTTACAGCAAACGAGATCACTATACTGGTTTTCATATTTGATCACACATCGGACACTTCCCAAGTATCTAGGACTATGTGATGTATTGGTGAATAATGTGTGCAGTTCTGAGTAGGGTGGCCTTTTGCAGCTGACTGATGATAATTTTGTCAGCGCCAATTGTTTTTAAGTACAGGACAAGGTCTTTAGGCACTGCACCTAGTGTGCCGATCCCCACTGCGACCACCTTGACTGGCTTGTCTTTGCAGTTCTATCTTTAAATCCTCATATTGTGTCAGCTTTTCCAATTGCTTCTCACCAATTCTGCTGTCACCTGGGATTACGACATCGATTATCCATACTTTGGTTTGTTCCCCCCCCCCCCCCCCATGATTGTGAGTTCAGGAGTATTGTGCTCCAAAACTCTTGTCAGTCTGAATTTGGAAGTCCCAGAGTAGTTTGACATGTTCATTTTGTGTAACTTTTTCAGACTTGTGATCCCACCAGTTTTTTGTCGCAGGTATCTGTGACCCATTATTGTTGTTGTTGTTGTTGTTGTTGTTGTTGTTGTTATCATCCCACTTGGCAATTTGCAGAAGAGCTTGAGACAGAATGTATGGCTTACTTAACTATTAAGTTCATGGTAAAAGTGAGTTTCAAAAGCAAGCCCTCCTCTTTCATAGGTTAGTCTTGTAAATGGCTATGAAGTCCCAAATAACTGGAGTAAACATACCCTGAAATAGGATGTACTTTAGGTAACTAGTCTTCCGATTATGTGTATGTGCCTCAAAAAATATTTTGCTGCATTAAAAAATGGTATGTTTCCTTTTAGCTAATGCTGTCACTTATCTTTCCTATGCCTTCCTCCCCACCCTACATCTTCAGACAATTGTCGCCTGGGAAGGAGATCAACTGGTGTGTGAGCAGAAAGGAGAGAAGCGAAATCGGGGCTGGAGACATTGGCTAGAAGGGGATCAACTTCATCTGGTGAGAAAGGGACTCCAATCGGCTTTCCCCACCACAGAGGAAGCCTTTGAGAGGTGGCTACAGACATTTTCAGAAGCCTTGCCTTGGAAATCCCAAGCGAGGCCCCATGAGTTATGTGTGCCTTCTCTGGAGGCAATGGCCCCTTGACAAAAACATCCTTCCCAAGAGTTCAAAAGTTGACTTGGCTGAGCTCAGCGGGAGCCTCCCATTGTCCTCCTCTCCCTTCTTTGAAATTTGACAACAGATCATGGGGTGCTGTTTAAGGAAGGGTGGAGTGATTAAATCAAAGTGCAAAACCTTTGTGCATGATGCGACTTAAAGTCTTGGTATCATCACTGCTTGCAAACAGTCTCTGTGTGCCTGAATGAGAGGCCACAGCCATGCGTTCAACAGAGGGTGTAAGGAAGGATTAATGTTATCTCCTACCCAGTAGGGATGTGTATATCTTTCCATGCTGTGCTCTGTCTCCCAGCCGCATTCAAAGAGGAGATCTCCGCCATCTGTGTATCTATGGGGCAGCTGTGCTGAATCAGTAGAGTAGAATTCCTGGGAACAGCTCAGTTGGAGAAATGCCTGCAGGCAGAGATGGGAGGCTTATCACACAAGAAAGGGAAGCACGATTCTCCAAGCCTCTGCAGGGAATCAGTGCCAGCCTCACCATACAGCAGATGCTAGGTTGCATAAGAACAAACATTTCATAAAACGAAACCTTGCAACTGTATCTCGAAGAAGCTACAAAACAAGTTTATTTAAAGCCTGAGAGATGCCTTTAAAGCAGTGTTTCTCAAACTGGGGCTTGGGACCCCTGGGGGGTGGGGGTCGCAAGGGGAGTTTGGAAGACACACATACACACACACACACATATATATATATACACTAACCGTCCCCTACCACGCGTTGCTATGACCCAGTCTGTGTATATGTGTTTTGTGTGTGTATATATGTGTTTATGTGTGTCTGTATTTGTGTATATATGTATGTTTGCATATATGTGTGTGTGTATATATGTGTGTATATGTTTGCGTATTTGTGTATTTATATGTGTATATACATATTGTGTATATGTGTGTGCTTGTCTATATGCATATTTGTTTGTATGTATGTGACTATATGTGTGTGCATACATATATGTATATGTGTGTATATATGTATATTTGTGTGTGCATGTGTATATATATACATGTGTGTGTATGAATATTTGTATATGTATATGAGTGTATGTGTATTTGTATATATGGTGTATTTTGGGGGGTTTTAAGTCTATTCCAGTGTTTTTTTGTGTGTGTGTTTTTAGGACTGATGGCCACTCATTGGACTGTTAGGTTTATTGTGTCAAAATTTCGTGTCAATTCAACCAGTAGTTTCTGAGTTATGCTTCTCCCACAAACGAACATTACATTTATTTATTTATATATATATATATATATATATATATATATATATATATATATATCTTCCTTTTTGGAAACAGAAGGCGAATCCTCCCATGAAAAGACCTCCACTGCTGTGATTGGCCAGCCTCTCATCAAAGAGGAGGGCTATTTCTGAGATCCAAGTGGGGAGGGGACAGCAAGCGTGGTTAATGCATGGCAGTGTGGTGCGCATGTGTGGGCAAGGGAGAGTGCGAGACTGGAGAGAGTCCCTTCAAGACATGGGGGTTCTGTGTGGGATGTTGGCCCAATTCTATAGTTGGTGGGGTTCAGAATGCTCTTCAATTGTGGGTGAACTATACATCCCAGCCACTACAACTCCCAAATATCAAGGTCTGTTTTCCCCAAGCTCCACCAGCGTTCACATTGGGGTATGTTGAATATTTGGGCCAAGTTTGGTCCAGATATATCACTGTTTGAGTCCACAGTGCTCTCTGGGGGTAGGTGAACTACAAATCTAAAATTTCAAGTAAGTGCCCACCAAACCTTTCCAGTATTTTCTGTTGGTCTACAGAGTTCTGTGTGCCAAGTTAGGTTCAATTCCATCATTGGTGGAGTTCAGAATGCTCTTTGATTGTAGGTGAACTATAAATCCCAGCAACTACAACTTGGAAATAACAAAATCAATCCCACCGCCCAACCCCACCAGGTCGTGGCATTAGGAAGGATGAGAACCACTGCTTTTAAGACTTCTGCTAAATCGACTGCTATGCAACAATTTATATAAACTTTGGAGTACAAATGACAGAGAAGTATTAAAATACATATTCCATTCATTAGCTTCCTAGAACATATTAAGAGAACTGTGACTCTCAGTACAATGCTTACCCCCAAAACATAGATATATATAGAATTACAAACAGTGAATTTTCATTGGATTAGGATTTCCCTCCCCTTGGCTGAGTTAAGTATCTTCAAATGAAAAAAAAATAGCTTCAGTTTGATGATATCTTTATTAAGCTGAATAGCAAGTGCTAACATTTGAAGCTCACTGGTCCCTCTATGACAGTGGTTCTCAACCTGTGGCTCCCCAGATGCTTTGACCTCCAACTCCTGGTAAACTGTCTGGAATTTCTGGGAGTTGTAGGCCAGACACCCACAGGTTGAGAACCACTGCTCCTCTATGACAACTCGACTTTAAAAAGCTAGGTAAAGCATTATAATTTGGCTTCTATTAGTACACTTTTATCTCCAGAACTGACATCATGAGACCTTCCCAGGAAGATCAGTAACCTTTGCCAAAAAGGAGCTTTATAGCTCCTAACTCTAGGAGCCCCAGGCGGTGCAATGGGTTAAACCCATGTGCCAACGGGACTGCTTACCAAAAGGTTGGCAGTACAAATCAAGGGAGTGGGATGAGCTTCCGTCTTGTCAGCTCCAGCTTCTCATGCGGGGACATGAGAGAAGCCTCCCACAAGGATGGTAAAACATCTGGGCATCCCCTGGGCAACGTCCTTGCAGACGCCAATTCTCTCACACCAGAAGCAACCTGCAATTTCCTCAGATTGCTCCTGACACACAAAAAAGCCAACTTGAGAGGATCAGAACACTCTCAAAGTAAAAGGTTGAATAGCTACCATGGAAAACAGACATTTTTGTGCCCCTCCTTTCTGGGCTTTATTTATATTTATTTATTTACTGTATTTGTATACCGCCTTTCTCAGCCAATTGGCGACTCAAGGCGGTTTCCAACAAATCAGTATACATAAAAACATAATATAGATAAAAACATTAAACAATATGAAACATCACAAAAGCAATAAAAACAACATCATCAGTGTCTCATCAGCTTTGTTCCTGTCGCACCTACTTTTTGCTGGGAATGAGTTAAATTGACAGCCCAGTCTATGGCATGAACACTCTCTCACTGTTTCTTTAATCCTTCAACAAAGAAGAACTGCTTGATTTCATATTGGAAGTGATGCAGTTTTGCTCGCAATAGAATTCCAACAGCCTGAAGTTTACATTCTGTGAGTGTCAATGACCTCAAGGCACCAGATCCCATCCCATCATGTGGATAACATGATCACTTCCTTAAGTATGTCGTTCTTTTGCTTTTGACAGAACTCTGTTTCCACTGCATGCCCAGGACAAACACAACACTCTGACAGCCTTTAGAAAAGTTTAAAAACCTGGCTTTTTTGGTGTGCTTTTGGAGACTGAACAGTCAATTTCCATGTCATGTCCCATCCCAAGTCCAACTTGTTTTTCTGATTATCTTCATCTTATCTGTCAGATGAAGATTAATTCTACTGTTATTTATTTTATTTTATTTATTTAGAAGTTTTATATACCAGTCTTCTCACCTCCGAGGAGGGTCTCAGGCCGGTTCACAACATGTGTTCATATGCAGTAATATACAAAACAGCACAATGCATCATCATTATACACAAATCATAGCACTTTCTACCTATCTCACTTATGGTTTTTATCAATTTGTATTCACTTTTAGTCATGGGCCTCATTCTCTTTGTCTAATTCTATTACCATTTTATCATCTGTTTTTATTATGATTTTGTTATTATCATTTTACTATGTTATTATTAAGTATTTTATTTGATGTTATTGTTTTGTTTATATGTATTTTTGCTCTATTGTAATTCGTTTGGGCTTGGCCTCATGTTAGCCACCCTGAGTCCCTTCAGGGAGATGGTGGCCGAGTATAAATAAAGTATATTGTTAACAGAGAACCCCAACACATATGGCAACCACGCCATTCATGGAACGATATGCCTTGTGAGAAATTCTCTTTGAAGCCCAGGAATAACAAGGTCTTGTTTTCTTTTTTCTCTCCATAGCGTATGACAGCAGAGGACGAGGTTTGCGTCCAGGTTTTCCAGAAAGTGAAATGATCCCAAACTCTGCATTTGCCTTCGACCAGACATTAACTTCTGGATGCAGTTGGCATTAGAACTTAAACATAGGACCAAAATCAAGCAAATGCCTTCTCACACGTTGTCTTAACATTTTTCTTTTTGATTAAAATAATATCAATGTCCAATGCCTCTGGGTAAATTACTTCTTGCTAAGTGTTGACTCAGCTGTTTAGTTTTCCTCCTGAGTTTTGAAATATGTTTTGAAATATGTAAGGAAGGGGGATCTTCCGCCTTCCTTTGTGTTGCCTCTTACGTCAGAATGATACTCATATTCTCATTGTGAAAGACCATGCGGATCCAGAATAGGTCTGTACAGTCACTTATGGGCCCACTGCCAAGACTCTTCCCATGGAAGACCATGGGTGATAGCCTATGATGTGTCTTGGCACTTCAGGCTACAGTGAGGACAAGATTGAAGAAATGACCAAGCAAAAGGGAAAGGTCTAAGGCAATGGTTCTCAACCTGTGGGTCCCTAGGTGTTTTGGCCTACAACTCCCAGAAATCCCAGACAGTTTACTAGCTGTTAGGATTTCTGAGAGTTGAAGGCCAAAAGATCTGGGGACCCACAGGTTGAGAACCACTGGTCTAAGACTTAACATTCCCCCTTCTATGCTCAGGGATTGTTTTAGATGGAGTATTCACTCTGCATCCCACAACTGCAGTTTGAAGCATTATAGCAAAAACACATATTGACCATATTAATAAAGCAGTGGTTCCCAACCTGTGATTCGTGGACCACCAGTGGTCCATAAGAATGAAAATATGGTCAGTGGCCTCACCATTAGTACACCATTGCCTCGAAACCACACAGCAATGAGAGCAACTGGTCTCGCGAAACTGTCTTATAGTGCCGAGGCAACGAGGATGTCGGGAGGGGAGAGGCTGACTACCCACAAAAGATTACCACTATCACATCAGCTCTAGATTATCAAATATGGTTTTCTGTGGGCGAGCAGATGATGTGTTCTGTATCAGAAACTAGAGCTGATGTGGTCTATCCAATGCAGTTTTCTGAATCAGCACCCCAAATAACCAAACTGAATCTAAAGTTGACCAAAAACTGATTCGTAACCCTTTGGTACTAATGTTGGAGAGTGGTCCCTGGTCAAAGTGGGCCCTGGACACATGGTCCTTGGTCAAGTGGTCCCTGATCAAAGTAGCCCTTGGTCAAAATGGTCCCTAGCCAAATGGTCACTGGTAAAGTGGTCCCTAATCAAAGTGGTCCCTGTTCCCTGGTCAAAGTGCTCTGGTCAAGATTCTCATTGGTCACTGGTCAAAGTGTTTCCTGGTCAAAGTGGCCCTTGGTCAAAATGGTCCCTAGCCAAGTGGTTACTGATAAAGTGGTCCCTAGTCAAAGTGGTCACTGCTCAAGTGCTCCCTGGTCAAAGTGCTCCCTGGTCAAGGTGCTTGCTGGTAAACTGGTAAATGGTCAAAGTGGTCACTGGTCAAGGTGCTCCCTGGTCAAGGAGCTTGCTGGTCAAGTGATCTGTGGTCAAAGTGGTCCCTGGTCAAAAAAAGGTTGGAAACCACTGTAATGAAGAGTAGGGGATCTGTTTACTATGCAATCAAAACAACAACACGTCTATGCAACTTTTGTTTCCCAAATGTTGTCATACTAACAAGTTTGGGTGCTGGGATAAGAAGATACCCTGCAGCAGCTCAAACAGAGAAAGGATGGAGCTTTCCCTTGTTTTTTGCAGGAGGAAAATCAATGGCAAGGCAAATGCTAGCAAGCAGAGGCATGAGCGTATAAAGATGTATTAGCAACTGGGTTGAAGGAGGGATGTTTTGGGAGGGGCAAGTCTTTTGTATGCAGGGGAAAGGGGCAGGCAGGGGAATGGAGCTTAAAGTGGCAGCAAAACCCATTTCAGAATAAGAGTTCTGGGATCCCAGGCAGGCAAGCAAGAAGGAAGGAAGGGGAGTGGACTGCTACGAAAAAGGAGGTTCTCAGTATGTGAAGTTTTCTTTAAAATGATATTTGCAGTTCAGTAGTGAACCTAGCAATATAAACTATTTTATTAAGAAAGCGTGGGTGGTGGTAAGGCTGATGCAAAGAAAATCAGAGATGGGAAACATGATGCTGCATGCCCCAGAAAATCCAGCTTTAGGCTGGTAGCAGTACTGTTGAGCACAGCCAGAGAAAAGATGGAGCTCAACAGCGCTACCTGCTGAAAGCAGATAAGGGTATCCATGGATCCTTGCTATCAGCAAGCGGGCAGCAGCTTCCTATACCTTGACTTAGTATGGATGCCACACCTACTTGGAGCAACATGACCACAATCAGTAATATTACCCAGAGCATCAGAGAACAATTCAGGTCTTCTTGTGCCAATGCAGTATAGGCCATCCTATGGCAGTGATGCCCCTCTACAGTCGACATTGGTCAAGCAGGACAGTTTCCATGAAGGAGGGTAAATGGACACAATTGCTATTAGAAGTAGCTGCAGAGCATTTCAACCTTCCTGGACTGAATTCCAGTCCAGTGCTGAATTTACAGGCTGAAATAACAAACGAAAAAGGAAAATTAGGAAGAGAACAGCTGGATTGAACAATACGAGGGTTACAAGATTTTTTAAAATACAAAGATTGAATATATTTTAATAAATCTTACATGGATTGTAGCATTACATTATATTTCCACATAATCACCATGCAGTTCAATACATTTTGTCATCCTTGGGATGAATTTTGATGTCTGTGTCATAGAAATTTCTGTCCCCCTTTTTCAGCCAATTCGTCACTTGGATTTTCACCTTGTCATCTTCAGAAAAGTGTTCCTTCAATTTAGTGAACAGATGATAGTTACTGGGTGCGAGATCAGGGCTGTGACAGGAGTGGCTTAAAACATCCCAACCAAATGAAATAAACTTTTGAGTTGCATGAACGGTGTGTGGACGCGCATTGTCATTTTATCTCTTCATCACATTATTCTGCATCTGTTTATTTCATTTTCTGTTATCATATGCATTTTATTTTGATGTTAATATTTGCTGTTTGTATTTTATTTTATTTTGTTGTACTTGGTCTCATGTTAGTTGCCTTGAGTCCCCTTTGGGGAGATGGTGGCGGGGTACAAATAAAGTTTATTTATTAATTATTTGTTTACTGTATTTTTATACTGCCCCTCTCAGACTTCCAGCAACTCGAGGCGGTTTACAAGGCAAAATTATTAGGCCTGGGTAACAACGGAAAAATTTGTTTCTAAAATCGATTCGTTTTTGGGGGGTTTTTTGCGTTTCGATATTTAAAAGAATTCCGAAATTTTCCTTAAAAAAAGTTCGATATTTACGAAATTTCGTAAATGGTAAAAAAATTACAAAACAATAACGAAACAATAACGAATCGATTCGTTAATGGCGGACGCGACCGCGCAATACGCTAAAAAAACTTCTGAAGCTTCCCTCTCCCTCTGTTGTTGACTGTTGGTGTGATATTATAATTTTTTTTCACTAATTAAACAAAAAACAACTATAAAACTTGCCCCAGACATGCGGAAATAATAACGAAACGACCACAAAACGAAACGAATACATAACAAAATACGAAGCATTTACGAAACGAATTGAAAAATTCGTTTCGTTTTTAAGTTGCTCCAGAATGGTTCGTTATCGCTTCGTTAACAAAAAAATAACGAATTTTTAACGAATTACGAATTAACGAAACAAAACCGCCCAGCCCTAAAAATTATTATATTATTATGAAGGAGACAGACTCCTACCATCAGCATACCATGATGTTTCCTTTGAATGGCTCTGTAAAGATTCTTCATGGTCTCACAATATATTCCGTACTCATTTTGTCATATGCTGTCTTGATATTACGTCCTCTCCATATACTGAAATGATTTCACAATGAATCACAGCGGTGTCCATGTCCTTAGCATTTAGGTAGCGTATTACAGCGCGAACTTTATACTTAGAAGAAAACAGAATGAGGACTCTCATCTCTAACCTTCACCACAATGCCAGTGGATGAGCTACTGACAACTGGCACTGCTCATTCGCTTCTGCTGGCTTCCCACTACATGGCAGTGATACCAAGTTCCCCCATGAAAATTCCCCATGAGAACTACGTGCCTTCTAACCTTTCTTTCTGGATAGCCCTCATATTCACCAATTCCAATCATTAGAAGAGGGTAAAATGTGTTAACTCACAATTTCAGCATAGTGCGGAGAGCAATATATGATCACAGAGAGGAGTGGGCAGGTCTATTTTCTGCTGACCCGGAGGATTGGACAAGACTTAATGGTTTTAAGATATAGATGGGCAAGATTTCACTTGAACATTAGAAAGACTTTCTTGACAGTAAAGCCCTATCTACACTGCTATATAAATTACAGTTTATCTGCTTTGAACTGGATTATATGGAAGTGTAGACTCCTAAAATCCAGTTCAAAGCAGATAATCTGGATTATTTGTGTTGATAATCTGGGTTATATAGCAGTGTAGATCCAGCCTAAGAGTGGTTTTGCAATGGAACCAATTGTTTAGATAAGTGGTGGGGTCTCTTGTCTCTGGGCATCTTCAGAAAGGAGTTGGAGAACTAACTAGTCAGGATGCTTCAGTGGTTCCCAACTTTTGGGTCTCCAGGTGTTTCGGACTTCAACTCCCAGAAATCTCAGCCATCTTACTAGTTGTTAGGTTGGGAACCACTGCATGGTCCTGCATTGAGCGGTGGGTTGTACTTGATAGTCTATGGCAGTGGTTCCCAACCTGTGTGTCTCCAGGTGTTTGGCCTACAACCCCCAGAAATCCCAACCAGTTTACCATCTGTTAGGATTTCTGGGAGTTTAAAGCCAAAACATCTGGAGACTCACAGGTTGAGAACCACTGGTCTATGGCATCTTTACCAGCTCTATGGCCCCTTCTACGCTGCCATATAATCCAGTTCAAAGCAGATAATCTGGATTGTATATGGCAGTGTAGAAGAGGCCTATGATTCTATGATTCCATGACTCTATCCCCAGGTGTTAAAAAAATTGCAATCTAAGAACCATTAATTTTATTTGTCAAATATCATACTGTGATCAGGCATTGCTCCAAGGTGAAACTATAGTCATAAAGCTTTTCATTCTGCTCAGAGAGACCACAACAGTATTACATTGTTGAAAATGTTACTTGATTTCTGCTTTAGTTTTAATGTTGTGTAATACTTTTCCTTTCAAAAGGAAATGGTGACAGTATCCTGAGGCAAATATAATAATGTCAAGCATATAAAGTATAAAAGTATCATTTAACAAGAAAACTACTGCAATGACATCAGTCAGGTATAAACTAAGAAGGAAAAATAGTAGAATATATGTAAAAGTGCTAATATGTTGAGCTATGTTGAAAAGCATGTGCTATCAAATGCTGAAAGATGTACAAATGATTGTATAAGAGATTCCAATGCCCTCCAAAGATGAAATATAAATCACAGTGCCTTGGTATGGTATGCATTAGGCTTGTTTGATTTTAAAAAATGGCTCAAAACTTGTTTCAGCTGGTGATTCAATTCTAAAGTCAATTCTGATTTTCACAGAAAAAAAGTGTTCAAAACTTTTCGAAACTTCTGAGACTTCTGAATCCTTTTGTTAATGGTTTGAAAGTGTTATTTCTTGTTTCATTGGGTGGTCTTTACTTTGAAAGTAGTTGTTTTACTCCAGAAGCAGGGAAAAGCAAGCGGAGGAAATTCCTCCCTTCTCTGGCTTTAAAACTGCCTTCTCTGGCTTGGGCCAAGCCCAGGAAATTCCTTCCTTCCCTGGTTTAAAACTGGCTTCTCTAGCTTTAAAACTGGCTTCTCTGGCTTGAACCGAGCCCAGGATATTCCTTCCTTCCTTGGTTTAAAACTGGCTTCTCTGGCTTTAAAATTGGCTTTTCTGGCTTGAGCCGAGGCCAGGAAATTCCTTCCTTTTCTGGTTTAAAACTGGCTTCTCTGGCTTGAGCCGAGGCCAGGGATCAGAAGCAGGGAAAATCTGAATAATTTCCGACTCACTTCATGAGTCATAACGAAAATGCCAGAAAAAGCTTCGGAAGGTCAAATGGACTTCCAGTTTTCTTAAAAACTTCAAAATTCCTTCCAAAAGGTAATTATTCCAACTTTATTCCAAATTACAAAGATTCCAACGGTACCTAGCCATGCCTAGTACGCATTGATATCCATTTAAGTGCAATGTACTACAAGTAACATGCTTGTATATTGCAGATACCACGTTTCTTAACCGTGTAAGAAATAGTCCTCATAAGAAACAATATGCCTAGACCAAATACTGTCTATAGAAATAAAATGCTTATGTTACATAATGTGCACAGCGTGCCTAAAATGAGATGTCTATCAAAAGGCATAAAACAGTATAAACAAATTGTTTTATTTTATATGTAAAAGATACGTTTATTCTCTATTTCTCTGTTATATAAACTTCCAAAAGTCCAAAGCTTAAGGGAAATGCTGGCATTTATATACCCAAGTTGGTTAATCTTGTTGGTTATAACTGAGGAAGCTCAAGATTACCAAAATGGTGAATTTTCAAAATTTTTAAGCTAATATAGATTGATAAGCATAAGACAAAGGAAGATTAATCCTTCAACAAAGAAGAACTGCTTTATTTCATATTGGAAGTGATGCCGTTTTTGCTTGCAATAGAATTCCAGCAAAACAGCCTGAAGTTTACATTCTGTGAGTGTCAATGACCTGAAGGCACCAGATCCCATCCCGTCATGTGGATCACATGATCACTTCTCTGAACTTGGTCTTTAGAGCCATGTATCCTGGTGGCATCATGACTCTTATGATGGCAATTTTCATACATTCATTATGCATATGTTTTGGCTACTGTAGTACTATTGTGGTACTGAACACTGTGTTGTCGAAGGCTTTCATGGCCACAATCACTGGGTTGATGTGAATTTTCTGGGCTGTAGGGGTATATTCTAGAAGCATAGTCTCCTGATGTTTTGCCCACATCTATGGCAGGCATCCTCAGAAGTTGTGAGGTCTATTGGGAACTAGGCAAGTGGAGTTTACATATCTGTGGAAGGTCCAAGGTGGGAGAAAGAGATCTTGTCTGTTGGAGGCAAGTGTGAATGTTTCAATTGGCCACCTTGATTAGCATTGAATGGCTTTGCAGCTTCAAAGCCTGGCTGCTTCCTGTTTGGGGAAATCCTTTGTTGGGAGCTGTTAGCTGGTCCCAATTGATTCCTGTCTGGAATTCCCCTGGTTTTTTTGTTTTTGTTTTTTTTAGTACTGCTCTTTATTTATTGTCCTGATTTTAGAGTTTTTTAAGATGAAGAAACACAACATGCAAACTATCTACAAACCCACCAAGAAAATCCAACAAATGCTATGTTCAGCAAAGGACAAGAGGAATCCTCCCACCTCTGCAGGAGCCTTTTCCATGCAGCTGTGGAAAAGTCTACATAGAGACCACCAAACACAGCTTTGCAAAACACGAAGCAAGGAACATGAAAGGCACTGCAGACTACTTCAACCAGAGATGTCAACCATAGCAGAGCACCTGATGAACCAACCTGGACACAGCATATTATTTGAGAAGACAGAAATGCCGGGCCACTCTAACAACCACCATGTCAGGCTACACAGAGAAGCCATTGAAATCCACAAGCAGGCAGACAATTTCAACAGAAAGGAGGAAACCATGAAAATGAACAAAACCTGGCTACCAGCATTAAAAAATACTCTAAAATCAGGACAGTAAACAAAGAACAACACTAAAAAAGCAAGGTAATTCCAGACAGGAAACAATCAGGATCCAGCAGAGCAAAGCATCTGGGGCTTGGGGAGAGACTTTTGAAGGAGTATCAAAAGGAACCTTTTCAGAGTAAGAGTTATTCAACAATGGAAGCAATTACCTAAAACTGGATCTCTTTTCTCTGTATGTTTTTTTTACAAAAACAATTTTGCATTGTGCGTGTGAGAGGAGGGTTGGATTCAGTAGCCTGTGGGGACCCTTCCATTTCTGCAGGGGAAGATGTTTTCTTGTTCCACCACCCATACAGGCCTTGCTGTGGAGGACATGGGAGAGAACTGTCTCTGTGGTTACTCCCAGACAATGGGATTACCTTCCCCGTGGTATCCAATTGGCACTTTCCCTGCTGTCTTTCTATTAGTAGGCAAAGTCCTTTCTATTTAAGGAGGCGTTTAGTTTTTAATATGTTGTGGCAGATGGAGCTTTTGATGGCTGGCACTGTTATTTCCATTTTATTATGTGTATTTTTTTGGAATTGCATTTATAACTGCATTTTTGACTTGTGCTTTTTAAAATAGAAGTTTGCTTTGTGTTTTAACTTCTGTATTGAGAGCTTTTTAGTTGTATTGTGTTTGGACACTGCTTTGGATTTCATGTTGGCAGAATGGTGGGATATATGGTAAGTTTGGATTCTTTGTGTTTACTCCCAATAATAATACCTCTATGTTTATGTCCTCCAAATCTTATATAAATAAAAATGCAATGTTCATTTGTGGGATTAACATAACTCAAAAACCACTGGATGAATTGACACCAAATTTGGACACAATACACCAATGAGTGACCATCACTCATAAAAGCACTGAAAAACACAGCAGAAGAGGCTTAAAAAGCCAAAAACCAAAAATTACAACGCAGACGCAAAACCACACACACGCACACACACACACACATATATATATATATGCGCAAACACACATATATACAAATATATACACAAATATATACACACAAAAAACACATATACACAGACTGGGCCACAGCAACACGTGGCAGGGGACGGCTAGTTTACTATAAATGATCAGAATGCAAATATGTGTGAATGCTCCTCATAAAACCTGACGTTTTTGTTTATGTTATGATGGAATTCCAGTACTTTGACAAAACAGGTAAGGCACAACATATAGAAAAGTGAGAGCTACTGCACGTATATATCTGGTTTAAGTAAAATCAATCATAGAAAAATTACGATCATTTAGTAGTAATGTATGAGTTTCTAAGGGCCCTTCCAGACAGGCCCTATATCCCAGGATCTGATCCCAGGTTTTCTGCTTTAAACTGGATTATATGAGTCCACAATGCCAGATAATCTGGGATAAACAGAAAACCAGGAATCAGATCCTGGGATATAGGGCCTGTCTGGAAGGGTTCTAAGTGGTAGCAGAGTATTAAAAAACTGCTTGGGCTTCCAGAGACCGAAATGCATATTTTAAAATCTTTTAATTGTATTGACGAAGGTTTTCATGGCTGGAATCACTGGGTTGTTGTAGGTTTTTTGGGCTGTATGGCCATGTTCTAGAAGGATTCTCTCCTGACGTTTCACCTACATCTATGGTAAGCATCCTCAGAGGTTGTGAGAGTTTTGCTTCTTTGTGTTTACTCCCAATAATAATACCTCTATGTTGATGTCCTTCAAATTTACCATATATGATGTTTTGCCTACATCTATGGCAAGCATCCTCAGAGGTGGTGAGATCTCACAACCTCTGAGGATGCCTGTCATAGATTCAGGCAAAACATCAGGAGAGAATGCTTCTACAACATGGCCATATAGCCCGAAAACCCTACAACAACCCAATCTTTTAATTCCAAGCACTTTTCATACTCCAGCAGGAGGCAGCAGAGGACAATTTAAAATAAATCCTTTAGGTTTCCTTTATTGTCCAAAAATTTCCTCTATTGCCCAATAGATTTGGGGAAAGTTGTCTTTCTTCCCTCCTCTTAGTATGGTTTGCCCCAGCCACACTAATTCACAGCTAACAAGATTAAGAGTTTACTGAAATCTCTGCTTTCAACATGCACGTACAGACTATATGAACTGCAGAGAGAAAGAGGGGATTACGTCCAATCTACGAACATGTGAGTGTTGACTGTGTGGGAAAGGAGAGGGTGGCATAAAAGGGAGGAAGCCGCATGGATGTCTAGTTGACAAAGATAAGAAAAGCTTTAGGGGCTGGAATCCCCTATCAGCTTATACTTAACTAAGTACTTAACTCAGTAACTTCTCCTGTCCTGATCCCTCCAAACCTAACAGAAACATCAATCAGCCTTGCTTCAGTTGATGGCAGAATGAACCTCCTTCTCTACAAGCAGTCATAAGTAAAGTAATTTGGGGATGAGTTACTACGTTGGTAGTAGTATCCAAATTATAACTGAGTAGTGATAGAGAATATGAAGCAGTTACTATAACTGGCTGACATCTCCCTGCCAAAGATTGGAATTGAAGCTATACAGAAGCTATACAGTGTGATGCAGAAGCTTTAAAAAGGCCAATACGATTTTGGACTGCATCAAAAGGAGTATAGCGTCTTCATCAAGGGAAGTAATGGTGCCCCTCGATTCTGGTTGGGTCAGACCTCACCTGGAGTACTGTGTCAACTTCTGGGCACCACAATTCAAGAAGGATATTCAAGAGTTGGAAGGTGTCCAGAGGAGGGTGACTAAAATGATCAAAGGTCTTGAGAACATGAACCCCCATGAGGAGCAGCTAAAAGAGCTGGGTCTGTTTAGCCTGCAGAAGAGAAGGTGTCTTAAGGGTAAGGGAGGAGGATTGTTTTCTGCTACCTAGGACTCAAAGCAATGGGTTCAAATTATAGGAAAAGAGATTCCACCTGAACAATAGAAAGAACTTCCTGACTGTAGGAGCTGTTCAACAGTGGAACTCTCTGCCTCAGAGTGTGGTAGAAATTCCTTCTTTGGAGGCTTTTACAACCTCATCAGATGGACAAAATTGCCCATCCTATGCCATTTCGACTTCACTTGAGGCATGGAGCCCACCGGCTCCCATCACACAATGTTGATCTACTTCTGGTGGGGCTCCGTGCTTCATGTGAAGTCAAAGTGTCATAAGAGGCAGTGCTGGCAACATAGGAAGCCGGACAGTGGCACTTCCTCCCATGGGATAAGGTTAGGGGCGATGTGGGGCACTGTGTTCCCAACGCCCCCCACCGGATTCAACACAAGTCATGGTAAATCCCCCCGCTATCACCCAGATCAGGGAATTCCATGTGATGAGGTCCTAAAAACAAAGCCTGGATGGTCATCTGTCAGGGATGCTTTGGTTGTTCTTTTCCTGCATGGCAGGGGGTTGGACTGGATGGTTTTCCAAATTTAGGATTCTAGGATACCACATCAGGACCACACAATATTCTTGGAAAAATGTTGTTACTTCCAGTTGTGAGAGATTCAAATTCACAGTGTTGTCACCAATGGTCCCCACATCCATGAGGTACTGATTCATCCCTTTCTAGAAGAAGTAGAGAGATTTTTTAAATACAGCTGAGTATTTCTCAAAATGTCAATATTTCTCTCAGAAAAATTGAGGTCTAGTTCACCAACATATTGCTCACCAACTATACGTAGCTCCTTAAGGAGAAGAAACATAAAGGAGGGTTTTTGTGGGGTAGTAGACCTCAGGAAGCTGTTTCATGATTTAAGGCATTGACTTCCTGGCTGATATCTGAACAGAGGATGGGCCGGAGAGGTCAATGTCTTGTTCCTTTCGTTGCCGGCTGCAAATTCCTGGTGGATTTTGGTGGTGCAGTATGGGCTAAACCAGGGGCCCTCAAACTTTTTAAACAGAGGGCCAGTCCCTCAAACGTTGGAGAGCCGGATTATAATTTGAAAAAACATGAATGAATTCCTATGCACACTGCACATATCTTATTTGTAGTGCAAAAAAATACACTTAAAAAATCCAATAATTAAAATGAAGAACAAGTTTAACAAATATAAATTTATTAGTATTTCAATGGGAAACGTGGGCCTGCTTTTTGCTGGTGAGATAGGATTATTGTTGTTGTTGTGTGCTTTTGAGTCATTACAGACTTAGGTTGACTCTGAGCAAGGGCCTTAGTTTGAGGACCCCTGGGCTAAACAGTATAATTTCTCCAGCGGGTCGGGCATAGACATCCTGTGATATTGCGGCAAAAATTCCCCTGCTATTAATTTTATTGATCGAATGAAAAATTATAATACAATTGTAATAAAGTGAGCTATGGGCCCCTGGTGGCGCAGCGAGTTTAACCACTAAGCTGCTGAACTTGCTGACCAAAAGGTTGGCAGTTTGAATCCAGGGAGTGGGTGAGCTCCTGCTGTCAGCCCCAGCTCCTGCCAACCTAGCAGTTCGAACATGCAAATGTGAGTAGATCAATAGGTACCGCTCCGGTGGGAAGGTAATGGCCCTCCATGCAGTTATGCTGGCCACATGACCTTGGAGGTGTCTACGGACAATTCCGGCTCTTCAGCTTAGATATGGAGATGAGCACCACTGCTCAGTCAGACATGACTAGGCTTAATGTCAAGGGGAAACCTTTCCCTTTACTAAATAAAGTGAACTAACACATTATAAAATTATACATTTTTAAAAAGCACCCTATTCATTTATTTTCTAACTAATAAACAAAATTTACACCTGACAACACACAAACATATAAACACGAAAAGAAAACATGCCAACACAGTGACATACACAACATTTTATACTTAATCAAGACTAACACACATAAAGACTGGTCTACAGACTTCTAACTCTCTGTCCGATATTACAAGTTCATAAATCTCAGAAGCAATTACTCCTCCCCACCCCCCAAAAAAGTTGGAGCATATTATTCAGTAAATCCTCAAATACTCTTAAATAGTCAAATATTCCTTCTCTATCAGCCTAATCAATTTGACCATCTCAATTAGTTCACAGATCTTTGTTAGCTGTTATCAAAACTCTGATCTTCAATCTTCCAGGGGCCCTTCCACACAGCCCTATATCCCAGAATATCAAGGCAGAAAATCCCACAATAACTTTTTTGAACTGGGTTATCTGAGTCTACTCCACACTCAGATAATGTGGGATTTTCTGCCTTGTTATTCTTGGATATAGGGCTGTGTGGAAGGACCCCAGGAGATCTGCATCAGGAAAGAGTTCATTCAGAAAGTCCTCCTCTTCTCTTTCACTTCCCTTTCAATGTATCTCAATTCAATGTATATCAAAGAGTTTTCTCCAACATTGCTGCCTACTTCAGAGTTCTGGTTTCTGGTTTCATTATGTTTTCCATTTCATTTTTGCACACTGTGTTTACAGGTTCCCTCTGCTGCTCCTGTCCCTGCAGGGAGCTTTTCTCTTTGGAGCAGCCAGTCCCTTGCCAACCTCAAAGAAGCTTTATGGAGAGGTCACATCCCCCAATTTCCCAAAACCGTATCCAGACAACAACATCAGCACCTGGGACATTTCAGTGCCAAAGGGCTTCAGGGTGAAGCTGAATTTCTGGCAATTTGATTTGGAGCCATCGGAGGCCTGTCAATATGACTATGTCAAGGTACTTAAGCACCATCCCATGTGCCACTGGGTAGACAAGGGCACCAAAAACTCGACTGAACCAAACTGTCTGTAATTTGATATCCTGCTTTACCTACAGCCTTCCACTTTATCAAGTATTCTGGTTTTCAAATCCCCATCCTCATGCATTTTGATGTCAGTTGCTTAATCTGTCCTTTTGTGTTTGTAGAATTACTGGTGAGGTTCCTTGGATCTTGGTTGATGGGTTCTACACTTTCCAATGTTTGTTCCTTCCTCTTTTGGGGCTCTGATAGATCACGGCAGACAAAAAAGACCTTGGTCGGTTCTGTGGCCAGGTAGATTCAAGCACTGGCAACCATCCCAGAAAGAGAGAGTTCTTGTCTGCTGGGAACCGAATGCAGCTCCTGTTTCACTCTGACTTCTCCAATGAAGAGAATGGCGTTGTTGTCTCTTACAAGGGATTCTTAGCTTACTATCAAGCTGTTGGTGAGTATGGAGTCTCTGTATTAGCACAAACAGTGGAGCCCCTAGTGGTGCAGCGGGTTAAACCGCTGAGGTGCTGAATTTGCTAATTGAAAGGTTGCAGGTTCGAATATGGGGAACGGGGTGAGCTGCTGCTGTTAGCTCCAGCTTTTGCCAACCTAGCAGTTCAAAAACATGCAAATGTGAGTAGATCAATAGGTACTGCTTCCAGGAAGATAATGGCACTCCATGCAGTCATGCTGGCCACATGACCTTAGATGTGTCTACGGACAACGCTGGCTCTTTGTCTTAGAAATGGAGACGAGCACCACCCCCAGAGTTGGACACAACTAGACTTTATGTCAGGGGGCAACCTTTACGTTTACCTTAAAACAAACAGTACTGGCCAGCCTAACCATAGGCAGATGCCTGGTTTGAGCAGTTATGGAGGTAGCTTGACTCTATGTTGAGAGAGAGGTGGTTTGGGTCATTGGAAACAAAGAGAGTAGCTTCCTGGTGCCAGGCACCAAAGTCTGGCTTCTCAAGCAACTAGATAATATGGTGAGCAGCGCAAAGTAATTCTCTGGAATGAATTTTTTTTCATTGTCCAATTTTTCAGCTGCTTTCAAAATGTTTTCAGTTTCTCTTCCTTCCACTATCCTGCTCCTTTGCCCTTAGCTTACCTCATTTGCTGGAAACTGAGTTCAAAGTGCAAAGGTAGTTTCCATTCCATCAGCAATGGGGAAGGGGAGAAAAGAGGGCTGAATCTTCCCCTTCCCAGTGGCTCACGCAAAAGCAAATTCTCCACTTCTGATCAGCAGCTCCGAGGGTATAATTGGAGAATAATAGATCCCAAGGTTCTGATCCAAGTCCTGAACAGGATTGGTGCCTTTCACCTATTCTGGGGATGGTGGGCAGGTATGGGTCTCCAAGAGATTCCAGGGAAAGTAATGAAAGGCCATTGCAAGGCTTATTACCAGCATGTGAAATTAGCTGTAACTATTGCCTAAAGAATGCATGGTAATAGTCACAAGAATGATCTTTAACTAAACAATAGGAAACAAACTACAGGAAAGGAGATTCCAGCTGAACATTAGGAAGAACTTCCTTACTGCGAGAGCTGTTCAGCAGTGGAACTCTCTGCCCCCGAGTGTGGTAGAGGCTCCTTCTATGGAGGCTTTTAAGCAGAGGCTGGGTAGCCATCTGTCGGGGGGTGCTTTGAATGCAATGTTCTTGCTTCTTGGCAGGGGGTTGGACTAGATGGCCCATGAGGTCTCTACCAACTCAACGATTTTATGGTTCTGTGAACACCCAGGGCTTACTCGTTTATTTATTTGTATTCATTTAATTAATTGGCATCCCACCATTCTGCCAACATGAAATCCAAAGCAGTGTCCAAACACAATACAACCAAAAAGCTTTCAATACAGAAATTAAAACACAAAGCAAACTTCTATTTTATAAGGCACGAGTCAAAAATGCAGGTATAAATGCAATTCCCAAAAAACCCACACATAATAAAATGGAAACAACAGTGCCAGCCATCAAAAGCTCCATCTGCCACAACATACTAAAAACCAAACACCTCCTTAAATAGAAAGGACTTTGCCTACTAATAGAAAGACAGCAGGGAGAGTGCCAACTGGATACCACAGGGAAGGTAATCCCATAGTGTGGGAGTAACCACAGAGACAGTTCTCTCCCATGTCCTCCCCAGCCAGGCCTATGTGGGTGGTGGAATAAGGAAACATCTTCCTTTGCAGACCTTAGAGTTTGGGGACTCTCCTGCCAGTTATCAAATTATTGAATCATAGAGCTCTAAGGGTCACAACAGGCCACTGAATCCAGCCTCCTCACACAATACTTTTTGGAGAATTATGATCTTTGGAAAGGCATGACCTTGTTAGAAACCATAACCTTTTGGAAAAATGATGCCACAACCTTTTGGGAAATGGAAATCTCCATAACCTTTTGGAAAATTGTATTCACCACCATTTTGGGAAAAATTAGGAATCTCCTTGAGAAGAATAAAAACCTCGCTTGAGTCAACTTTCTCCTTAGTCATAAATAGAATTCATGCAAAGCAATTAGGTTTCTCAACTCTTAAACCAATATACCTAGATATTTCTTTGAACTGTTAGGGACAAAGATATGCCAATGCACAAAACACACACACAGTAGTTTCAGAAGTATTCTTTTCAATTGCCCAAAAAACATCTATGCTCCCTTAAAACATCTTGGTTTAAATCATGGTTTCAAGAGACAAAAATAAACAAACTTCTTTAAAAGTAACATAGTTGGTTTACTCACAAACTTCATGTATACAGCATACAGGTACTTTGGATATCAATCCAGTTACAGATAGGATTTGAAGCAGTTTCTCTGTGCAGATAACACAGGGCATCTTTCTTATAATTTATAATGGTCCATAGTCAAAAGACCTCTCTGTTCTGAGAGTCTAATAGAGTCTCTGTCTAGTCTGAAAGTCAAGTGGAGTCTGAGATCTAAAATGGAGTCGGAGCTGAATAGTCCCAGATCTGATCACATGGTCTAGTGGAGGCTTGAAGAAGGTTGCTATTTCCAACAATACCCAATGCAGGAAATCTAACCAGAGCATCCCTAGCAGGTATCTGTCCAGGTTTTTAAATATATATATATAGAAAAAAGAGACCCAATCATTTAGATAATTGGCTCTGTTGGCTCTTACTGTTAAGATGTTCCTTCTAATATTCATTCAAATCTCTCTCTCCGGGGCTCAGATGCCTTGTTCTAATTGCAGTGTTTCTCAACCTGGGGGTTGGGACCCCGGGGGGGGGGTCATGAGGGGGTGTCAGAGGGGTCACCAAAGACCATCAGAAAACACAGTATTTTCTGTTGGTCATGGGGGTTCTGTGTGGGAAGTCTGGCCCAATTCTATCGTTGGTGAAGTTCAGAATGCTCTTTGATTGTAGGTGAACTATAAATCCCAGCAACTACAACTCCCAAATGTCAAAGTCTATTTTCCACAACACCAGTGTTCACATTTGGGCATATTGAGTATCAGTGCCAAGTTTGGTCCAGATCCATCATTTTTTGAGTCCATAGTGCTCTCTGGATATAGGTGAACTACAGCTCTAAAACTCAAGGTCAATGCCCACCAAACCCTTCTGTGTGCCAGGTTTGGTTCAATGCCATCGTTGGTGAAGTTCAGAATGCTCTTTGATTGTAGGTGAACTATAAATCTCAGCAACTAAAACTCCCAAATGGCAAAATCAATCCTCCTAACCCCATCAATATTCAAATTTGGGCGTATATGGTATTTGTGCAAAATTTGGTCCATGAATGAAAATACATCCTACATATCAGTTATTTGCATTAGGATTCATAATAGTAGCAAAATTTGAGTTATAAAGTAACAACAAAAATAATTTTACGGCTGGGGGTCACCACAACATGAGGAAGTGTAATAAGGGGTCGTGGCATTAGGAGGGTTGAAAATCACTGCTCTAATGGATCCTTTTCCAGGCATTGTGAGATCTTCTTGATCGGCCTACATTAAGATAATCATAGAACTAATAAAGGTAGAAGAGAGCAGAGAGGCCATCTAGTCTGCACAAGAATCCACAGTGAAAGAATGATTTCATAGGAAACGTTCATCTCAATAAAGGATTTCCTGAAGTATTCAGTCACAGCACACATGAATTTCTGGTTTATAATGTGCACAACAAAACACAATGATAAATTATTATTATTATTATTATTATTATTATTATTATTATTATCATTCTGACACAAAAACAGTAAGACACAGCAAACGAGATATATATGCTGGATTTCATATCACAAAATCACGAGTTGAACACTTTCCAAGCATTTAGGAATGTGTGATGATGGTTATTATTATTATTTATAAATATCTGGGGTGGGTATGGGGACTTCTTAGAAACTGCTTTTGTATAGTCAGAGGTTAGGAGTGACAAGGGGATGGGGGGCACGTCTCTTTTCTCCATGGACCTTAACTTCCATGGAGAAGCGTTAAATCAATCCTCAGGCTAAGGCTATCAACTGCTAACTTTAAAGTATTTTTCTTACTGAAAGGTAGAATACTGATATTGATTAAATAAGCAGAAAAAATATTTGACTGTCACTTTCTTCCCTATGGCAAATTACCAGATTTGAATGAGTGTGCCCAGGGAAATGACATCGAAGATGGTCCTCAATGCCAGCACTTCTGCCACAACTATGTCGGGGGCTACTTCTGCTCCTGCCGACCTGGCTACCGTCTCCAGAGTGACCGGCATTCCTGTAAAGGTGAGAGAGCTCGGATCTCCCCAAGGAAGCAGAGAACAGAGTTCATATAGACAGTGAGAATAATCTGTGAGTTGCCAGTTGAAATCTGCGACCCTACCCAATGTGACCTTGGGTAATATTAAGTCTGTCTCTTGTCGGCAATGCGTGGAAAGCATTAGAGAAAGAACAAGTGAAAGAATGTATGACTACATGGCCTCAAAACATTGGATAAAATATTGAATTGCACAGCTTCTGCCAACCTAGCAGTTCGAAAACATATACAAATAAATATTACTATTTCAGGCTGGAAGAAGATTGCTATTTCTAAGAAAATAAAACACTTCCCTCAAGAAAAAAATGGATTAAAACAGTGTTGGAACTGGCAAAATGGATACGTTATCAGTACTAAACAAGAAAAAAAGATAATAGACATTTTCCTAAAAGAATGAAAAATATTTGTACTGTTTTTAAAAAGAAAATGTAAAAATACTTGTGTGTTTTGAAGTATATAGATTAATGGGAATGTCAGGTAGAAACAGATAAATTTGTAAGAGTTAGTGGTATGATAACAATATTTTTACCATATGTCTCTTAAGTAATGAGGTGGGAAATCAATTGTGGTTGCTTTTTATGTAGTCCCCCGTTTTATTCTAGAGTTGATAGGGCGAAAGTGAGAGGTGGGTTCATTTTTTAGTCTTTAATGTTAGATCGGATGTGTTGGGAATATAAGGTATAACATAATCACCAACGTCCTGGAGCCCCTGGTGGCACAATCCCTTCTGCAAGCAGGACTGCTGACTGAAAGGTTGGCAGTTCAAATCCGGGGAGAGGGGTGAGCTCCCACCTGTCAGCTCCAGCTTCTCATGTGGGTACACGAGATAAGCCTCCCACAGGATGGTAAAACATCTGGGCGCACACTGGGCAACGTCCTTGCAAACTTTCCAAGTCGCTTCTGACACACACACACACAAAACCAACTTCCTTAATTGTATAATGAGGTCCTATATTGCTTGAATATAAAAAGCAGTTTTCCCTAAGGTTTAAAAACGATTGGTTGTAAATGTTATTGTGACGGTTCTTGCAAGGTACTTTAAACACTGCAATGATGATGCAGATGCTATCATTGCTCTGTTACTCAAGGGATCAGTAGTAAGGATGCACTGTCATGATTAAGTGTTGAAAGAGAAAAGGGTTCCATGTTGTGGGATATCTACAAGGCACAGCTGCTACAAAGACAGTCCTCTCCCAGCTTTTAATGCATCTTCTTGTGTTTCCTTGTCCTGCAGTGGACTGCAGCAATGAACTATTCACAGAGCCCTCGGGGCATCTATCAAGCCCTGGTTACCCTCAGCCCTATCCAGCCGAGCTTCAGTGTAACTACAGCATCCGAGTGGAGAAGGGGACATCCATCACACTCCAGTTCCTGGAGCCCTTTGAAATCGACGATCACCCACAAGTTCGTTGTCCTTATGACCAACTCAAGGTAGGGCAAATGAAATCACTCTGCATTACCCAGCCCTCCTTCTTGCTGTCTGTACTGCTCTTCAAAATGTTGCTTTTCCCTTGAGATTGTTTTATTGTAGCATAAACATTCATGGATCTCGGTGCACTTCTTCAGGTGCACAATTGGGAATATCTCTGCTCCATTGAACCATTTCAACCTGCATACTTGATCATACAGACCAAATATGGTCTGTTCTTCTAGTAGGACCGAATATAAAATATTAATATTTCACTCTCATTCCATAAATACTTATAGGCCCTCTCAAATACCTTAGACAAACACACAGATTCTTTGGTCCATCTACACTGCCATTGTAATGCAGATTGAACTGCAATACAGTTCAATCTATATTATGTGAGTCTACAACAGGGGTCCTCAAACTAAGGCCCGAGGACCGGTTATGGCCCTCCAAGGTCATTTACGTGGCCCTCACTCAGCCTGAAATGACTTGAAAGCACACAACAACAACAACAACAACAACCCTATCTCATCAGCCAAAAGCAGGCCCACACTTCCCATTGAAATACTAATAAGTTTATATTTGGTAAAATTGTTCTTCATTTTAATTATTGCATTATTTTAAGTGGGGGGTTTTTTGCACTACAAATAAGATATGTGCAGTGTGCATAGGAATTCATTCATGTTTTTTGCAAATTATAATCTGGCCCTCCAACAGCTTGAGGCACTGTGATCTGGCCCTCTGTTTAAAAAGTTTGAGGACCCCTGGTCTACACCATCATATAGTGCAGTTCAAACTGCATTATATGGCAATGTATATAGTAGGGCCTCAGATAGCTTATTTCATTCAGAACATAACCAAAATAATCCCCAGCTGTTTTCTACCAGTGATTCTCATTCTTTGGCCATCCAAATACTTGTAAAGCATCCTCCAGAAGCTAAAGTCAGCATGGAATAAGAATTGTACAGGAATTTCAGGGGAGAAAGAAGTCCAAAAGGTCAGTGATTGAGAACCACACTTCTTTAATTAGCATCTGACTGATGCTCTGTATGAGAAATGAGCAAAATATTAAAGGGTTGTTGTAGGTTTTTTCGGGCTATATGGCCATATTCTAGAGGAGAGAATGCCTCTAGAACATGGCCATATAGTCCAAAAAAATCTACAACAACCCATTGATTCTGGCCATGAAAGCCTTTGACAATACATTAAAATATTAAAGGCATTCCCAAACCCTCCATTTCTCACTAGATCCAAATTGGAAATAAAATAATTGGCGAGTTCTGCGGCACGGTGCCTCCAAAGAGCATTGAAACCAACAGCTCGTCGGTAGACATCCTTTTCTTCACAGACGAGTCAGGATTCAGCCGTGGGTGGAAGATCCAGTACAGCACAGAAAGTAATGTATTATCCCCGTCCAACAGACTAAGAGAAATAGTACCTAGCCATCTGCCAGGGCTTCCTTCATCTCTTTCTTATTTCCATTAGGAATCCGGTGCCCACAGCCAGTGACAAAGGATGAGTTCACCATCATCAAAGAGCCACAGCCTGTCTATCGATTTCAAGACTACTTCATTGTGAACTGTCAGACTGGCTATAACCTGATGGAGGTGAGGCACATCTATTGATCAGCTGCTTCGCTTTGTCTCTTTCAGGGATCAGCGGTCCTTGCTTATGGCAACTTCTTGCTTATTCAGGCCCCATTCATAAAGATTTCTTCTTTTTTACATCTCACCCTCTTTCTCATAGGAACAGATTAAAATATTTGTTAACATATGCAAAACATTTCTTTCAGCAAAATTCCCCTGGTGTTTGCAAATCCGGTGGTGGATTGCACAATATTTGGCCAGTTAGAAAAAGCCAAACATGGAAGAGAGGGAAACCGAAAGTAGAACGTAATAGACAAACAGAGCTTAAATGAATCCAGAACTCAGCCTCAGGGCATTCAGCTCTAATGTTTTTTGCATGCGTAGAGTGTGTTTTCCTTACTCCTGGATGACCATTGTTTTCGCAGTATCCCTCTCAAAAATTACAGAATAAGGATACCATGGCGTAGTTGTATTCCTTCTGAAAAGAGAAAAACACCAATTGCTCTGTTGATAGGGCGGTTCTACACAGTCCTTTAACCCAGGAGCAACTGGGTTTCTTAAATGCGATTGTGCCTGGGTTAAAGTCCACACACGCACCAGAAGGGCACCAAGACACAAAACAAAATCCCCCAGGAAAGCCTTAAAAAAAAGAAAATAACTTACCCGGCTGCCATTCCCCCTTCTCCAGAGCTCTCCTGGCACATAAAAATGATGCACCAGAAGGAGGGCCAGAAAGGATTTTCAGTCTCCCCTCCTTCTCCTGGCACACCATTCCTACACACCAGAAGAGCTCCGGAAAAGAGGGAAGGGCTAATGAGTAAGTTATTTGCTTTTTTAAAGGCTTTTTAAAGGGGTTTTGGGAGCGAATGGGATCTGCCTTTGGTTTGTTGGACTCCAGGAGCTGAAGCAACCCGAGACAGCTGTGTGGATGGGCATGGGAAATTGCATAATACGATCCCCGGGCCCAATCCACGCAGTGCTTGCAGCTGGATTGACCCAGGTTTTCTGAAAGACCTGGGTCTTTCCAGTTGACAAATTACCTTGGGACAAAGCAGGGTTTTCCTGCTTTATCCCGAATGCATTCGTTTTTACGTGAAAGTCATTTGAACGCCCCACTTGAAAACACGGGAGGGCGCACATTTTGGGTGTTGTCTAGATATGTCCTTCTATATCATTCCCAATATTTTAACAGCATTTTAAAATCTAAAAGGGGGGCTATTTCATTCTTACAATGCTAGGAAACTGAAAGACATTCAACCATAGAGTTTGCTTGTGGTGTGAGACCAGGTAACGAGGGTTGGGCTTTTAAAAGCAGTGTGGTTGGGATTTTAAGCTGGATATAAAGTTTTAATGCATTTTAATATTTTTAATATTTAGTCATTTTAATATCTCGAATTGTTTAATTGTTTTGAAAAGGTATATTTATATTTTAATGTATTCATATTGTTTTTATAAGGACGGTGTTATGTTTTTGTTAGCTGTCTTGAGTCCCTGTGTTGAGAAAAAGCCAAGATAAAAATAAAGTAAATAAAATTAAAATTACAATAAATAAATGTTCTAAGAAAAATCAGCTCTTCAATTGGTGACATTTTAATTTTTAATTCCAGTGTGCTTATTTATTTATTTATTTATTTACCACATTTATATTCCATCCTTCTCACCCTGAAGGAGTGTCAGGGTGGCTCACAGCAGAGGCACTATTCAATGCCTTGGAAACATATAAAATAAAACAACAAATACTTTAAAATCACATAATTAAAACATATCACTTAAAATAATTACTTAAAATCACACTGTTCAAAAGCATATTCCAAGAGCCATTCCAATTGTCATTGTTCAGGATTGTACTGAGAAATCGTTGTTGCACTGGGAATCATTGTGCAAATGTTTGGTCCCACAGCCAGGATTTAACTTACTTCCTGAAGATCAGAAGGGAGGGAGCTGATCTAATTTCCCTGGGGAGGGAGTTCCATAGCCGGGGGGTCACCACCAAAAATGCCCTGTCTCTCATCCCCACCAGTCGCGCCTGCGAGGGGGGTGGAATCGAGAGCAGGGCCTTCCTGGACAATCTTAACCTCCAAGATGGTTCATGGGGGGAATATACATTCAGACAAGTTTACACTGTAGAATTAATGCGGTTTGATATCAATTTAACAGTCATATCTCAATGCTGTGGAATTATGGAAGTTGTACTTTGGTGAGGCACCAACACTCTTTGGCAGAGAAGGCTAAAGACCTTGTAAAATTGAATTAATTATACAGTGTAGATGTACCCTTAGTTCATAGCAAACTCATTAAAATCAACAGCACTTTGATTAATCACAACTTAATTTTAGAAATTGCGGCAACCACCATGAGCCTAATTACAATCTACCCAAGAAGAAGAGAAACCTGTCATTCATATACATTGAAGCACTGGGTTGAGTGATTTTTCATTGGCAGAAGAAACAAGAGATGTTTATCCTCACAGCCTTTATGCTGTCCTACAGTCATAATGAAACTGGTCTCCCTTCTCATTGTCCTAGACACATTTTTTTTAAAAAAAGTACGCAGGCATCTTCTGCAGCACTCCATGTCATGTCCCATGTTGCCTTTAATCATCAGGGCTGGAGATAGACTTAAATAGATCCCATGGGCTAGGCTGATTCTCTGTTGCTTTCTCCGGAGTAGGGACGGAAGAAACTGTCATCCTTCACCTCTGTCTGCCAACATGATGGGACCTGGCACCGCTCTATGCCATGGTGTGAAAGTGAGTAGCAGACACTCTCTACTGTTGCTTTCAATGGAGCCCAAGATTGCTGATCGTATTATAAAGGAAATTCTGGGAAATTTTGAGATATGGGTTAAATGGGAGCATGCAATCCAATATATTTTCAATTTCTTAAAATATATTTATTTGGTTTCCTACTGCCCTTTTGAACATTTCTCATGAAAGGTTCCCACTCTGTGTGCAGAATGATTTTTAAGGAGGTAGTATTTTTTTATGTTACTCTTAATTGCTATCAAGTCAACTTTGACTTATGGTAACTTTGTCTTATGGTGGAATAAAAAATCAGGTCAATGTGGGAATTTGCATTCCCCTTAACTTCTGGTTTAATGTGAGTGTGGTGTGAGTGCAAAGAATTATCAGGGAAGGGAGAACTTTTCTTGCCTCTTGCTTTGTTTGGTTAAAATAGCTCCCAGGATGCTCTTTTCTTTAGACGTAGGCACAGGAATTCTTTATGATTTCACTGTTGGATGAGAAACCAGTTTAAAGGGTTGTGATTGCCAGTGAATAACTAGGTGTTGAAGTATCTTGCAGTGGGAAAACTGTCCTATGCAAACATCTACATATCACACTACTGATAGAGTTAAAGATGCATCATGGCTGGTTGAGTCCTTTTGGAAAGGCATGACCTTTTAGAGATCATAACCTTTTGGAAAAACAGAATCACCATAACCTTTTGGAGTAAAATGGCATTCACAACCATTTGAAAATCATAACCTTTTGTAAAGTATGATCTTCCAGAGACTTGTTTGAGTAAAATCTTTAGTGGTATATAATATCCACATGTACTTATGCAAGGCAATTTCACTTCCAGCTGTTAGACCAGGCGTGGGCAAACTTTGTAACTTGGGGGCTGCATGCTAGCATTCGCTGCTAGGAAAACAGGCTGCCCAGTGATGGAAGGAAGGAAGAAAGGGAAGGAGGAAGGGAAGAGAGAAGGAAGGAAGGACAGAAGGAGGAAGTGAAGGGTGGAAGAAGAAAAAGAGAGAGGGGGAAGGAGGAAGGAAACAGGGAAGGAAAGACAAAAGGGAAGGAAAGAAGGATGAAAGTGAAAAGAGGATGGAAGGAAAAAGAGGAGAAGAAGGAAGAAGGAAGGAAGGAAGGAAGGAAGGAAGGAAGGGAGGGAGGGAGGGAGGGGGGAGGGAGGGAAGGAAGGAGGGAAGGAAGGAAGGGAAGGAAGGAAGGAAGAAGAAAGAAAGAAAAAAGGGAAGGAAGGAAGGAGGAAGGAAAGGAAGGAAGGAAGGAAGGAAGGAAGGAGGAAGAAGATAGGAAGGGAGGGAGGATGGAAGGAGAAAGAGAAGGGAAGGAAAGGAGGTAAGGAGGAAGAAAAGAGAAGGAAGGAAAGACAAAAGGGAGGAGAGAGAAGGATAAAGGGTGGAAGGGAAGGGAGATGGATGGAGGAAGAGGGAGGGAGGAGGAAAAGAGAGAAAGGAAGAAAGGACTAAAGGATAGAAGAGAAGGTGAAAGACGGAAGGAAGGAGGAAGGAAAGAGAGAAGGAAGGAAGGATAGGATAGTGAGAGAGAGGAGAGCTGAGGAAAGAGCCCAATGGGCCATATCCGGTCCTCGGGCCAGCATTTGCCCATACTTGTGTTAGACTGATAACCTGGTTGTCTCTGATCTGTTAGAAATAGGGATTATGCCAATGCACAAAAACATAACAGTTCTTCAAAAGTATTCTTTTCAATACCCCTATATTATGCTCTCAAAAGACAAAAATAAAGTAGACTTGGTTAAAAAAAGTAACATATCTAGTTTACTCATGTGTTCAGCATAAATGTACATAATTTGTCAATCCAGTTACAGATGGATATGAAGTGGTTTCTCTGTGGAAATAACACAGGGCATTTTCCTTACAATCAACAGCAACATGAGTTTGCTCTTTACAGTCCAAAGTCTAATGGCATCTGCCCTTGAAAATGGAGCCTGAGCTCTGAGCCGTCTGATCGGAACATGTGGTCTGCAGCCCCTCCCACAATCTCAAGAAACATAGAATAAAGGGAAAGCTGCATACCAAAACATACGTATACAATACAGTAAGCAAACATGATCATATACAAAACAAATTACTAGTGGAGGCTTGAAGAAGGTTGCTATTTCCAACAAGTCCTTATCTTCCATAAGTGGGTATCTTATGGAAGATACCCACTTGGAGTTCATTTCTTACCCCAGAAAATGCGAAATACATCCTATGATTTTTGCAATCACTTTACAAATAAAATGTTTTCCTGCAGTTTGATTAACATTTGGTAAGAACCCTAAAAAATGAGAGACAAGTTCCACCCTCTGTAAGCTGCTTGTTTTTTTCTGATTGTTAAAGGCATACTTTATCCTTTTACCTATGAATGAGAAAGCAATTTAAGTCATGTGATTGTCAATGGATAACTAGCAAGATAGGGAAATGTCCCTCTTTCACTCCCCCCACCCCTCTTAAAAAAGCAAAAGCAAAATAGCATCAGAGGGAATCACACAATTAACAATGCATTGTTGGTGGCGGAGTTGAGATGCTTCATACCTATTAACTACAGTTTGCCAAACTACCACTGAGTGCTGGTGCTGGGTTATAATAACATTTGATCTCGGAGAGATTTGCAAAAGAAATACAGGCAATCACCAAGTGACAAATGACATATTGGTAAGAACGGGAGTGAGACTACAGGAGTTGAGTGAAATCGTTCCCTCAGGCGGGAAATTCACTCCTGGAATTCATGGGGGGAAAGTGTCTTCACTGAAGCTTTCTCACCAATCCTTGTTTCCACAATAAGCCATTTTTTTTTCAAAATCTAATTATCACAGGGACAGAAAGTGAGGTGAAATCTTCTGAACAGGGGCTGAAACAGCAAAACAAAAGCCACAGGGGTGTTAACCCTTTCCTATGTGATCCACAACTAAAAAATACATATTTTTGGTTGGAGGTTACACTTAAAAATGTACCTGTTCCAAATAAAACTTAAGAACAAACTTAAGAACAAAGATACAGAACCTGTCTTGTTTGCACCTTTGGGACTGCCTGTGCTCACCTCCCCTTTTACTTTCTGTTTTATCTTGTAGTTGTGAATTGTGGCAAACCTAGAATCCTGAGGAATGGAGCTTTTGATTACGTGTCACAGAAAAGAAATAACAACTATCAGTCCGTTGTCAGGTACCGCTGTAATGCACCGTATTACCATCTGGTCACCAACACAGGAAGTGGTAAGTTCTGGTGTATCAAGAACCATGGCATTTATATCCCTCCCCGTCCTGCTCTGTTTGGGGAATACCCTGATGGCACCTCCTCTTTCCTTCCACAAGTGCCATTTAACATCAGGGAAGTACAAGGTGTATCTTGAGCATTCTTTTTTTCATGCTTGGCAGAAGTTGCAAAGGCTGCAATTGAGTTTCTTTCCATCATAGGTCATTTCTGCCTTAAAAACATAGGTCATCGGTCCCACCACCATCGCAGTCGCATTGGTGGGGATGAGAGACAGGGCCTTCTCCGTGGTGGCCCCACGGCTGTAGATCTCCCTCCCTTATGAGATTAGATCTGCCCCATCTCTCCTGATCTTCTGGAAGAAACTCAAATCCTGGCTGTGGGATCAAGCGTTTGCAGAATAGACTGATTTACTGGTGAAGATAAGGTTTTAGTGGACCGCAGTAGACTGATTTGGACGATGATTTGAACCAGCAAACTGTTTTAATGTATATTTATAACTGTTTTTAATGTATGCTAATACATGTATGCTAATACATAAGTCTGCCCACGCAAAACAGGTGAACGTAGCATTGAACGAAACATGCAGAATAATCACAGGATGTCTTAAATCCATACCTGTTGATAAACTCTACAAGCTAGCTGGCATTGCCCCCACCCCCATGTGCAACGGGAAGTTGCTGCTAAATGTGAGAGAAATAAGGTTAAACGCTGTGAAAGCCACTCACTACATGGCTACCAGTCTCCTCTCAGTAGACTCAAATCAAGGAAAAGCATTATGAGAACTACCACTCCTCTTGGCGTCCCGCCAGCAACAGCAAGGATATCCCTCTGGGTATAAACCAGGAAATCTAAACTGGATGCCCCCCTTGCGAGGGTCTTCCTCCAGGGGCAAACCAAGAATGGGCAACCGGGAAGTCCCTGAATAGACTCAGAAGTGGGGTGGGCAGATCAAAAGACAACCTGGCAAAATGGCACTACCTAAAAGAATCCCAAACCTTGTGTGACTGTGGAACAGAACAGACAACTCTGCATCTGCATGTTTGTCCACTGTGCCCTGCCTCGTGTACAGAGGAGGAATTGTTGGAGGCTACAGATAACGCTGTTGCCCATTTTTGGTCAAAAGATATTTAACCGCCAGTGCACCTTCTATTTTTATCAGTTTTATACTAATTTATGCAATGCTTTTGATACGAAATAAATGTATGCTAATTGTATTTTATGTTATGTTATTTATTATATTGTAACAGCATTGAATAGTTGCCCGTTGGAAGCCGTCCTGAGTCCCTCTTTGGAGGCTGAGAAGGACGGGGTATAAATGTTCTAAATAAATAAAATAATGCACGTGGGAAGTAGAAAAGAGGAAACAATAGCCTCTATGTCTGCTTCCCTCTTGTTTTCTTGGTATCCCAACTGTGTTGTGAGTGCCGTGTGCTTTGTTCAAAATGGATCAGGTTTAGGAATCTCTGGGGTATCAACAGTTACTAGGCCAAGCTGTCAACCAGGACTAGAGGCTGCTAAACAAGTGGTTCTCAACCTGTGGGTCCCCAGATGTTTTGGCCTTCAACTCCCAGAAATCCTAACAGCTGGTAAACTGGATGGGATTTCTGGGAGTTGTAGGCCAAAACACCTGGGGAACCAGAGGTTGAAAACCACTGTGGTAGAGTCATTTTGCAGAGGTGTAACTGCAGCAACAACAACTGCCCTGCAACTGGAACAAAATAAATTGCAGAGCCTTGCAAAGTTTAGTTTTGGATGACAACTCCTAGAATCCCCAAGGAATGCTGGTGTGAGAGTGTGGAAGTTGTTGTCAACAAGTACCTTCCTAAATTCTTACCTTTTGCGACATCATCCAAGCACAATTCATTGATCCCGTCTCCTTTTATTTTGTCCACTTCCCTCTTTTTTGTTTACCTACCTTGATCCTTACCTTTTTCTCTTACTTCTTGCCCACCCCTTGTCTTCACCCTCTTTCTTTCTCATAGTCTTCCTTCGATCCTATTCAACAAACATCTGCAGATAGAAAATAAACTATATAAGGGCCAAATGGAAATCCCCCAGTCAACATACCGTAAATAAAATTTAGTGATCAGGAGAAGCTATGAGTTGAGATACCTCATAACCATCAACTACAATTTGCCAAACTACTACTGAGTGCTGGAGCTGGGTATTTCCATGCCACATCATACTGACATGATCTTCCCTTAGCTAGCAGAATGACTCCTCTCATGGACTAACACTCTTCTCCCCATCTTGTTTGGAAGATACCCCCATGAACCAGAGTTCATCCCATTCAGTGGAGATTCCTGACTCCATATTTTAAGAGGGATGGAGAGCTGCCAAACCACTGCTATTCACCTAAATCTGGACCAAGCTTTGGGAGCAGGAAGAAACTCACCTGTGCACTATAGTCCTGTATAGCAGAGCTTCTCAAACTGTGCTCCTCCAAGTGTTTTGGACTTCAGCTCCCAGAAACCCCAGCTATCTTACCAGCTGTTGGGAATGGTGGGAGCTGAAGTCCAAAACATCTGGAGGAGCACCATTTGAGAAACTCTGCTCTATAGAGTTGGAAGATCTATAGATTATGTGACATTTCTGCAGAATTTGCTTCCATTCTTCTCATTTCCTTCCTTAGATACATACACCTGCTCTCCTCAGGGATCTTGGAAGGATGAAAATGACCAGGAGGAGATCCCAGTCTGCCTGCCAGGTAAGTGAGGTGCCATATTCTTTCTTCTCAAGTTGGCATAGAATGAGTGCAGCAGTGAGCTGCTATAATTAAGGAGCAAGGCTGCATACAATACATTAAATTTCAATCCAATTTGGGCCACTTTGGGCGAATTCAGGGGATATTCCAAACTCCAGAACATTCCCAATTTTGCCTAAAGAAACCAAAACTAGATACCCCTCCCCCCTGCAAAAACAAAACAAAACAGAATACTCATCCAAAGTTGTTGTGTATCATGAAGACAGATAGTGGTAGATACGTGGAAGTCCAGGTTTTTAGACCTGTATAGACAAGCCATAAAAGAGGTTAGGATAGGTGGATAAGGCATGAGCAGATTTTAGGTAATTGAAACAATCATTAACCATACTATTGCTGCTCCCGTCCCTCTAAGACAGTGGTTCTCAACCTATGGGTCCCCAGGTGTTTTCGCTTTTAACTCCCAGAAATCCTAACAGCTGGTAAGCCTTTGATCATGAAATAAGCAAAGGTGTATCTCACTAACTCGTTGTCTGATGAACAGCCAAACTCATAGGGACTGAGGAAAGCCCATATGGGGAAACCAAACTAAGGTCCCTTCCACACAGCTGTAAAAATCCACATTGAACTGGATTATATGGCAGTGTTGACTCAGATAATCCAGTTTAAAGCAGTAGTTGTGGATTATCTGCCTTGATATTCTGGGTTATATGACTGTGTTGAAGGGCCCTAAGGTTGCCATCTCCAGTAAAGGGGGAATGGATGTTGGGGAGACATATAGTCTTTTGATTCTTGAAAACACTCTGGGATTTCAGCCATTTCAATACCTGCAGCGCCCTCCTCTGGTTCCGTAATGTGAAGGCAGAAAGCAGCTGGTGTCTTGAGAGAATGTGGCAAAAGTAATAGGTGTATCAATAAAAGTGAAAAGCAAAAAGGAAGACATTACCAGTACTTGAGCAGGGCATATAAAGGGGAAAGAGTAAGAGTAAAGCCGGGAGAGTTTGCAGAGCTGAGGGCCCTTCCACACAGCCATATAACCCAGAATATCAAAGCTGGAAATCCCACATTTTCTGCTTTGAACTGGAGTATATGGCAGTGTGGACTCAAATAATCCAGATCAAAGCAGATATTGTGGGATTTCTTGCCTTGATATTCTGGGTTATATGGCTGTGTGGAAGGGCACAGAGAAGTAGGATGCAGATGCCTTTCTGAACTTTGCTTTCCTTTGCAGTGTGTGGAATGCCAGACAACCCCATTATAGAAGTCCAGCGAATAATTGGCGGCAAAAATGCACCTCCTGGCAGCTTCCCATGGCAAGCCATGACCATCATCTCTGGGCGCGCAGGTGGGGCATTGCTGGGTGACCGCTGGATCCTGACAGCTGCCCACATTGTGTTCCCCAAAGGCCAAAGTGACTCTGAGGAGACCCAGAGCCTTGAAGAGGTGGCTGAGAAGGCTGAAATATTCCTGGGTCACACCGTAGTGACAGACCTCTTCAAGCTCGGCAATCGGCCTGTCCTCCGGTTGTTTGTGCATCCAGACTATAATCCTGATGATGAGCAAAATTTTGATGGGGATATTGCACTCATTGAGCTGCGGGACCCAGTGACCCTTGGCCCAAATGTGCTCCCTGTCTGTCTCCCAGACCCAAGGAACAATTCGTTTTATGATCCAGGGTGGATGGGTTATGCTAGTGGCTTTGGAGTGGAGAAAAATATCCTTGCTAACCAGCTGAAATATGCACCAATCCCAGTAGCCAATCGGCTGCTGTGTCAGGAGTGGTTGCAAGGGAAGAAGATTAACAAGAAAGATCCAGTCTTCACGGCCAACATGTTTTGTGCAGGCTCTCCTAATGAAGGGAAAGATACCTGTCAAGGTGACAGTGGGGGGGCCTTGACCGTGCGTGACCCCGTGACCCAACGGTGGGTAGCCACAGGCATCGTGTCTTGGGGCATTGGGTGTGGCAAAGGGTATGGCTTTTACACTAAAGTCTTCAACTATCTGGACTGGATTAAGGGCATCGTGGGAAAGGACTGGGAATCAATGCAAGCCCTTTCTTGATGTGCCCTATGATTTAATGAATGGTAGCTTTCATTCTTTTTTATTTCTTCATCTTCAGTGTGTTCATTTTTCTTCCCAAAACCAAGGTACACCTCCACCCCACTTTGAATAAACACATATAGTTTTAACCCCATCTGTTAAACAATTCTTACTCAACCTAAGCTTTAGTTGTTTGATATGACAATGAATTCAACCATATAACACAGCGGTTCTCAACCTTCCTAATGCCACGGCCCCTTAATACAGTTCCTCATGTTGTGGTGACCCCAAGCCTTCTGGTTGTATGGCCGGTAAGATTGCTTGGAACATCTCTTTGACTTTTCCTGCCAAAGCAGTACCTATTTCTCTACTCACATTTGCATGTTTTTGAGCTGTTAGGTTGGCAGGAACTGGAGCTGACAGACAGGAGCTCACCCTGTCTCATGGATTCAAACTGACAATCTTCAGGTCTGCAGTTCAGCAGCACAAGGATTTAACCCATTGCACCACTGCAGCTTCATTATGAAATGAAAAAGACTTATTAGCCCTGCTGCAATGTCTCTGCTAAATAATATTAATAAAATTCACCCACATTTCTAAAACCTGCCACATTCTTTGTCACATCTTGAAAGCTCCCAAGAAGTGATTCTCTGTAACATTTATTTGTATGTATCTTTCCAGAACAGCACTGTTCAGATATTAAACTTACTGTTGGCAGAACTTGGAATTTTCTTTAAAGACTCAAATGTTTCACTGTCGTAACTATACTCATCATGCTATCTCAGTCTCCTGCTATGTTTACATTATCAAGATCCACAGCACAATATTGTCATGGCTTAAGTCAGTGGTTCTCAACCTGTGGGTCCCCAGGTGTTTTCGCCAACAACTCCCAGAAATCTCAGCCAATTTGCCACCTGTGAGGATTTCTGGCAATTGAAGGCCAAAACATCTGTTGACCCACAGGTTGAGAACCACTGGCTTAAGTCATATTGTGTATATGGCTCTTTCCCCAGCTGGGTGATCTCTGGGAAGTTCATTCCTTTGCCGATTAGGTCAACTTCTTGATGTTTCATTTCTCGTGTGCCACACTGTCTCAAACCTGGATGGCTTCAGATGTCATATTTCAGATGAGTCACAACACCCTTCCTCCCACGAGTCAAGCATGCAGTGTCTATTGAGTCTTCCCTGAGAATCATACCAGACTAATACCAGCCTCCATATGACCCACCAACTGCCTTATGCTGAAATCCCATCTTTGTACTGATCTTGTTTTTGCGTTCTCTCCACACTTATTCTCTGTACAAAATGCAATCCTCCCTTTTCATCCGATGTCTCTGCTACTTCCAGAAGACTGCAACTGCTATCTCTTTTCACTAGCCTGTCTTAACAAATATTCAAGGACTACAATAGGTTGAATCAAGGTGAAAGCAGTCTCAGCTCCTTTGTCTAATTGGGACTGGAACAAAAATGATCCTTTCACTGTAGGGTCTTTTAACAGACTAGAGTTTTAACCTAAAATAAATAAACGTTATCAGTATAAATCTGGAGGGTGGGAGGGATGGAAGGGCAAAGTGCAAACTTCATGGAGCTCTGTTCTAGGGAGTGCGTGGTGAAGAGAGGAGGCCAGCAAACCAGAGAGGGGTAAACAAGAGAGGGGTAAACACCAGAGAGGGGTAAAATTTGCACAAAACGTCAACATTTGAAAGTATCAATATCCCCTCAGATCAAATGACAACAAGATAGCACTTGCAGTTTTGCATTTGGGGTTCTTAATGTAATCAAACACAATATGTCTTACAAGAATGATGATTTATTATTTCAAATTAGCTGTACCCTCCACGTGTAGCTGTGGCCAACCTTCCCTCCCTCTTTCTCTTCTTTCTTTCTCTCCTTCCTTCCTTCTCTTCCTCTTCCCTTCCTCCCCCCTTTTCTTTCCATTCCTCTTTCTCCCCTTTCTTCCTTTTCTACCTATTCTTGGACTGCAACTCCCAGCAGTCCTCCTGATCGATCTATCTACCTACCTATCTCTATCTAATCTATCTATCTGGAGCATTACTGGGAGTTGCAGTCCAGGAATAGGAAATTGGAAATATGCATGGATTGGGATGATCTCAAAGAAATCTAAAGAGAAGAAAGCTTGGAGCTTGGAAGCAGTGCATTTGGATCATCCTTCTCTCCTAAAGAGCCTGGTCTAGGGAATGCTGGGAGCTGTAGTCCAGAAGAGAGTATGGATATGCTATTGTGTGTTTTGTTTGCCAGGGGGAGTCGTTTTTGCTCATGCACTGTAGCATCTTTTTGTTTTTTGGCTTTTTAAGTCTCTTCTGCTGCATTTTTCAGTGTATTTATGAGTGATGGTCACTCGTTGGCCTGATAGGTGTATTGCGTCCAAATCTGGTGACAATGTGTCCAGTGGTTTTTGAGTTATGTTATTCTCACAAACGAACATTACATTTTTATTTATATAGATGATTTTTGTTTTCAGAAGACCTTCCAAGCATGCAAATATAGCCAGACAGATTGCTTTGACAGTGACATGGAATTATTTCAAGGGTAGGTTAAGGATATCATCATCAGAGACAAGGAGGTGCTCCTTGTCTCTGATGGACAGAGCATATGTTTTTTTCCCTTTGCACTTCAGGGACAGTAAGCAAGGAATTCAAGGCCTCTCCGCAAGGATTTCAAGGGGCACTCACACAATTCCAAAACCTCATTTCAGAAAGAACAAACAAACTCACAACCCACTGAAATAGAAGGGAATTTATTTTGAGTGTTCCTGTCTAGATAATGTTTGTGATACCAATGCTGATGAAAAACAATTTCTCTCTCCATTGGGAACACCCACCAGTCACAATTAAGCACTCAGAGCTGTTGCTATTCTGCTTTTCAGAAAAAGAGAAGAAAACAGGCAAGGTAAAGCATATAAACCTTGGCTCCAATCATCTCTTTAGTGGACTAACCCTTGAGAATGAACAAATCAAAACAGTCAGCGTCTAGGAGAACAACTGAGTCCTGGATGTGGATGCAACTAGTCTTTGTATTGGTTCATGATCTCTACAATCCAGTCCACATAGTTTGCCACCTTCGTGTAAATGCCATAAGTGCCACATTTTGGTCCCCAAGAAACTAGGCCGGCAACATAGTAACGGGTCTCATTATGGGGATCTTGAATGACATATGCCCCACCACTATCCCCTTGACAGCTGTCCTGTCGGCCATCCCCAGCACAAATCATATTATCTGTGAAGACGTAGGTCAACATATCTGCGGGGGAATCCAGCTTCACTCTTCGGCACACCTCCATCTCTTGCACTGGGACCTTCGCTGCCTTCAGTTTAATGGATTTTCTTTGTCTTTCTGTCCTGCCCCAACCAGTTACAAACCCTAGGGTCCCAATCTGAGGATCATAGTCAGAAGATGTGCCAGGAAGGCAGACTGGAGAAATGGTGGGACCCAGTGTCACGGGTTTCTTCAGTCTCAGCAGAGCAATGCCATTATCAAAGTTAGTCCGGGGTTCTGTTGCTGTTGTCCAGTTGGGATGAACACATGATCCACATCTAGTGGGCTAGCTCCCCTCAATGCACTGGGGCCAGCTAAGAGCAGGCCAGCATAGATAGTTGGGTTTGTGTTTGCATCCAGCAATTGGGCTGCTGTAACTATCCAGCGGTCTGAAATGAGAGCTCCTCCACCTTGTGGACTGTAAAAATAGACATGCCAAGGGAAGTTTCCTGATTTAGCAAATACACCTCCAAAAATCCGCCCTGTTTCTTCAATGGGTGTATGGGGAACTCCACAGACTACAGAAAGAAAGTAAGACACAAGAACTTGTAAGCACTAGAGAGACAAGATCCAACAATTTATAGTGATATTTACATATTTATATACATATATAGAAATGCTCTGTAATAGTGTCTTGGCATGCACACTCTTCCTAACATCTCCTTTGACTGTTGTCTATTTATGTTGCCTCATAACACTGACTGGGTGCTATTAAAAATTGAGCTGCCCTATGATCCTACCTCTTTATTACAGTACAGATAATTTCCACAACCTTATGCCCTTCAATATGTACTGGATTACCACTCGCATCATCTGTCATTATGGACAATGCTGCATTCGAAGACATCTAAAGCATTCGGAAATGCATCAAATCCATTTTAAGTGGGGTAGTTCTACTGTCTGATGTGAGACAAACATTCCCAATGACACTACCTTCTCTCCAGCTCCCCTCACCTTGCTTGAATTCTCCTTACCTTGATATTAATCCCTAGAAGAAGTCTACACATTAGTGATGCCTCAGGGCTGCATGTCACATTCCATGAAGAAGCAAGATTTTGCACTTGGGATTCAATGATGCTAATTATATATTTGCTTTGTTCAAGTTTATCTTGTTTACTTTCCCATTCTTTGTACATTGATGTAGAGATACAAAGACCATGGGCCACTTCCAGCTGCTTATTTAAGGGCTTTTAAAAAGTATCTTTGTTGAGTTCTTGTGTCTTTTGCTCAGTTCAAATTATCTCCTGTTAAACACCTGCCTTCACAAATACCTCTCTAATTGGATTGCTGTGAGTTTTCTGGGCTGAATGGCCATGTTCCAGAGACATTCTTTCCTGACGTTTTGCCCACATCTATGGCAGGCATCCTCAGAGGTTGTAAGGTCTGTTGGAAACCAGGGTGGGAGAAAGAACTCTTGTCTGCTTGAGGCAAGTGTGAATGTTGCAAATGGACATCTTGATTAACATTTAATGGCCTTGCAGCTTCAAAGCCTCGCTGGTTGCTGCCTGGGGGAATTCTTCGTTGGGTGCTCTTAGCTGTCCCTGATTGATTTTAGCAAGAAAATTCAATGCTAATCAAAACGGCCAATTGCAACATTCACACTTGCCTGAAGCAGACAAGAGTTGTTTCTCCCACCCTGGACATTCTGCAGATATATAAACCCCACTTGCCTAGTTTCCAACAGACTTCATTACCTCTGAGGATGCCTGCCATAAATGTGGGCAAAAAGTCAGGCGAGAATGCTTCTGGAACACGGCCAAACAGCCTGGAAAACTTACAGCAACCTAGTGATTCTGACCACGAAAGCCTTTGACAACACTTCCTTAATTCCCCCATATAAAGCTCCCTGGTCAGATTTGTTAGACTCTTAAAAAACATTATTCTTAACCTCTATGAGATGCAACTCCTCTCTAGCCAGAACCCCAACTTCATTAAACCTCAGACTATGATCCAAATAATTCCTGGCAGCACCACCTGTTATTCACTTCTCCTATCCTTCTTGCCCTTGAATTGGAATGAAACATGAAATGACATGACAACGTAAGCATCAAGCGTCCTTCCCTGAAATCCCAAGGGATCTCCCAAAGGCTATTCCTTACAGTCTCATTGGTCTCCACATGGATCAAAAGGAAGGGGAAATGGTCTGTGGCTTTGACAAGCCTTTTCAGTGACACAATTATGTTGTGTTGGGCACAAGGTTACTCCACTAACCCATTTGCTCTTCTCTGGAAAAAAATTCTTGTGGCAGATAGTATATCATAACACTATCACAATACTGTTGTGCTTGATGCCTTGTCTTATCAGAAAAAGGGAAGCTACAAACTCTGTAGGTATTTGCACTCCTGGGCTTCTGCTATGTTTCACCTTATTCTGGTGCAGAACTACAAAGCCTATAAGTGGCCCCTTCCAGTGGGATGCAAAATTCGGCATTGTACCTGGGATGCAAACCGGAAGCTCTGTTTTCTCTTCTTCATCTACCCATTTCCCATTGGCTGAACACCGATAGATTCCTTTAAAAATAAAGAAACACAACAATGAGTTTCTTTAGAGTCAATCTTAAATTTAATCCAGGAAAGTGCTTCCTCTGCTCGTAAATATTTATTTATTTACGTTATTAGTATCCCGCCTTTTTCAGCCTGAAGGTGACTCAAGGCAGTTTACAGTCGGCAACAATTTGACACCCCAGCAGACATAAAATATAGTTAAAAACGTTTAGCATCTTCTTCTATATATATAAAAATGCTCTGTGCATAATGAGTACCTTAAAAACAAAAGAACCAATGAACGAAATCACACCAAATTTGGCAACAAAACGTCTCACAACACAAGGAGTGACCATCACTCAAAATTATGATTTTGTCATTTGGGAGTTGTAGTTGCTGGGATTTATAGTTCACCTACAATCAAAGAGCATTCTGAACTCAACAATGGAATTGAACCAAACTTGGCACACAGAACTCCCATGACCAACAGAAAATACTGGAAGGGTTTGGTGGACATTGACCTTGAGTTTTGGAGTTGTAGTTCACCTACATCCAGAGAGCACTGTGGACTCAAACAATGATGGATCTGGACCAAACTTGGCACAAACTCATATGCCCAAATATGAACACAGATGGAGTTATTGGGGGAAATAGACCTTGACATTTGGGAGTTGTAGTTACTGGGATTATAGTTCACCTACAATCAAAGAGCACTCTGAACCTCACAAACGACAGAATTGGGAACTTCATACACAGAACCCCCATGACCATCAGAAAATACTGAAGGCCATCCATCCAACTCCCTTCATCAGGGCAAGAAAACTGTAATCAAAGCCCTCCTGACAAAGAGCCATCCAGCCATAGATATATATAGATAGATAGATAGATAGATATGATTCACACACACACAGAGATATAGTATCATAGATTTGAAAGGGACCCCTAAAGAAGGACATATGATATGTTGCATGTTCCAGAGTAGGCAAACCAGACAATCTCCACATCAACACTGACAAAGAAACAGCAAGAAATACTGTTTACCCACAAGCATAAAGAAATTACATATATTAGAAACCAACACTTTCTCATTACTTTATTTTCCAGATCACCAGACTGGGCCACAGCAACGCGTAGCAGGGGACAGCTAGTATAATAAAAACCATACAAAACCAATAAATAATAAATAATCAGCATCTCCTTTCTAAAATCATTTTCCAGTCGCATCGTCAAATCGTTCCATGGTTCACATTTACCTGTTACGCTCCATTTGCAAAAGCTTGCTCAAAGAGCCAAGTTTTGCCTTTTTAATGAAATGTCAGGAGGGAGGGGGCTGATCTAATATCCCTAGGGAGGGCGTTCCATAGTCGATGGGCCACCACTGAGAAGGCCCTGTCTCTTGTCCCTGCCAGACATATCTGCAAAGGAGGCAGGACTGAGAGCAGGGCCTCCCCAGATGATCTTAGAGTCCTAGATGGTTCATAAGAACACATACATTTGGACAGGTAAGCTGGACCGGAACCAGATTACCTGTCTAAATGTATCTCTCCTTATGGACCATCTAGAACTCTAAGATTTTCTGGGGAAGCCCTGCTCTCAGTCCCGCCTCCTTCACAGATGCGTCTGCAGGATTGCAAAACATGGATTAGTACTACCTCCCAGTTTTAATGAATGCTGAATATGCCATGCTTTGTAAATAAACCTAGAGACCTTTTGTCTGAAATGAAGAAATATGGATGAAATTTCTTTCACACAAATACTGGAATGATGTAAAAATAAAGCACTCTTTAATACAGTGCACCACAATACTATAATCCTCAATTCTGCCTCTGAAAGTCACCAGAAGATGAATTGAGAGGAATGAATTGAATGGGACTCACCGCTTGCATTGCTGTTTAGTGTATAGTAGGGCTCACTGCATACGTAGCGGATAGTGGCTTGGTAATGAGTCTCCTCAGATTCGGTCAGGTAAACGACTGCTCCATTTTCAGGATGATGAGGCATACCACAATCGACGGCTGCAAAAACAAAGTAGGATAAGGTTAAAATAAGGCTCACAGGACCCTTCTACATTGCCATATAATCCAGACTATCCAGATAATCCAGATTATCTATCTTGAACTGGATTATCTGAGTCTACACTGCCATATAATCCAGTTCAAAGCAGATAATTTGGATTTTATATTGCAGTGTAGAAGGAGCCTCAGCTCCTCACCTATTTAACCCGTGTTCAAATAAGACTGAAGAAAGCCATTTCTTCCTCCTGTGTGTGTTGCATCACTTACACAATCTTCCAATCTTATCATCATATCCCTTTCTGGAACTAAGGCTCCTTCCACACAGCTGAACAAAATCCCACATTATCTGCTTTAAACTGTAATATATGGCAGTGTAGACTCAGATAACCCAGTAGATCTTGTGGGATTTTCTGCCTTGATATTCTGCATTATATAGTTGTGTGGAAGGGCCCAAAGTCTAAAACAACATCAATTCTTTCTACAAAGAACCATCCCAGATATCAAGTCATAAAGAAAACAGATGATTGTTTAACCAGTTATTGTTAATGTGTCAAGCATCAATCTGCCAAAAAAATGCTGCCAATTTCCAAGAGAATCTGATTAAATTAATCCCATCTCACTGGAAGTCAAAGAGAAAAGGTATGTTAAAATTGGAAATGCAGGTGAAACTCTGGGCTTCTTTGACATCCTTCCTAATTACAGTCTATACAAAAGGTGCTAAAGAAGTCTGCATCATAACCACTGGCAGCAAAAAGCAGCACTGTAATGCTTTGTATCATTGCTGATGGTCATTGTATTGTATTGTTGCCATTGTATTTAATTTTAAACTGGGAAAATGTACCCAAGAATGTACTCCAAAGATGTCATTGGAAAAATGGATGGATGGATAGGTGACTGGAGGGCTCGTGGAAGATTGGCTAAGTGTTGCATGCGGGAACATGAGAGAGAAGCCTCCCACAAGGATGGTAAAACATCAAAACACCCAGGCGTCCTCTGGGCAACATCCTTGCAGATGGCCAATTCTTTCACATCAGAAGTGACTTGAAGTTTCTCAAGTTGCTCCTGACACGAAAAAAAAGTTTGTACCTATACATCTGGACATTTTAAGACCATGTGAAAAATCCGCAAGAGCACTAACATTTCTGGCCATTTCCTGATCTTATAACCTAGGTGAACACTGGAAGAAAGAATAATAGGGATCAATGGGCTACGAGGGTTGAATGAAAAGTAGTGCCTCCACCTTCGTTACTTGGGTTTGGATGGGAATATTTGAATAAATCAAACGCAGAAATAATCCTTAGAAGGTGCTCTTTAACTACCACTATTCACTTTTCCACATGATCACCACACAATTGGATACATTTTTGCCAATGAGGAACAAGTTTTCTGAAGCCGTCACGGAAGAAGTCGACACTCTGTTTCCACAACCCATCATGCACAGAACTTTCGATAGCCAAGCAAAGCAATAATGTGACACATACGTTCTTGTGAAATGCCTATTATTGCTTAAAATTTTTCTCTGAGTGATATGACAATCGTCCTGAATCAATCTGTCAAGCTTTTGCTTGTGAAACTTGGTGCTTGCTGTCACAGGATGTCCAATGCTTTGTTTGTCATGCAAGTCAGATGTTCCCACCTCAACATCTTTACTCACCCAACAATGCACAGTACTCACATCAACACAATCACCATAAACAGCTTGCATTCTCTGATGAATCTCCTTTGGGGTGACACCTTCAATTGTAGTCCTACTAACCACCTTTCTACTGACTCAAGTTGTGCAAAAATATAGTTTGGTCTGAAATGCTTCAGAGCAGAAGAACAGAGGGGTGTTTTCGTGTCTGAGATGAACAGCTGAGAGCCCAATCCACCTGCAAAGCTCTGGGAGAAATATCTAACCTCATGGTTAAAGGGGATTGTTGTTGAACAAAATTGTTTTGGGAAGACATAGGTGAGAGAGGGGATAGGTGCCTTGGCTTGCAACACCTCCCCCTGCCCTCATGAAGTACGCCATGGACTTCAATAACTTACCACATTTGTAAAATCTCCATTTCAATCAACTTCTTTCTCAAAACCAGAATGGTAGAACTTCAGATTTCAACAAACACAAGTCACTTCTGAGTCAATTGTTCTTTTCCACCTCTTCCTCTGAAATAGCCCTGCAAGGTTGACAAGAAAATGGAATTCCAGTTCACAGAGAACTAAGGAGTTAAGGAATCTAGGATTTAAGAAGGAAAATTGGTTCCAAAACAACATTCTTTACTACTAATGCTAATAATAATACAATATAAGAATTACGGTATATATTTTATATTACATGTGATATAGTATAATATATATAATAAACAAACTAGTCCAATGTGGGCTAGGCAAAACTACGGTTAGGTGAATCTGTAATTGGTTAAGCGGACGAACCCAGAGGGTGATTCTCCCCAATGCTTCCTCTTCATCCTAGAAAGAAATGACGAGCAGAGCCATAAGCAGGGCTCCATCCTGGGCCCAGTCCTGTTCAACATCTTTATTAATGACTTAAATGAAGGGTTAGAAGGCATAGTCATCAAGTTTGCAGAGGACACCAAATTGGGAGGGATAGCCAATACTCCAGAGGACAGGAGCAGGATTCAAAACGATCTTGACAGATTAGAGATGGGCCAAAACTAACAAAATGAAGTTCAACAGTGACAAATGCAAGATACTCCACTTTGGCAGGAAAAACGAAATGCAAAGATACAGAATGGGGGACATGCCTGGCTCGAGAGCAGTACGTGTGAAAAAGATCTTGGAGTCCTTGTGGACAGCAAGTTAAATATGAGCCAACAATGTCATGTAGTGGCAAAAAAAGCCAATGGGATTTTGGCCTGCATCAATAGGAGCATAGTGTCTAGATCCAGGGAAGTAATGCTACCCCTCTATGCTGCCTTGGTCAGACCACACCTGGAATATTACGTCCAATTCTGGGCACCACAAATGAAGAAAGATGTTGACAAGCTGGAATGTGTCCAGAGTAGGGCGACTAAAATGATCAAGTGTCTGGAGAACAAGCCTATGAGGAGCGGCTTAAAGAGCTGGGCATGTTTAGCCTGAAGAAGAGAAGGCTGAGAGGAGACATGATAGCCATGTATAAATATGTGAGAGGAAGCCACAGGGAGGAGGGAGCAAGCTTGTTTTCTGCTTCCCTGGAGACTAGGACATGAAACAATGGCTTCAAACTACAAGAGAGGAGATTCCATCTGAACATGACTGTGAGAGCTGTTCAGCAGTGGAACTCTCTGCCCCGGAGTGTGGTGGAGGCTCCTTCTTTGGAAGCTTTTAAACAGAGGCTGGACGGTCATCTGTTGGGGGTGCTTTGAATGCAATTTTCCTGCTTCTTGGCAGGGGGTTGGACTGGATGGCCCATGAGGTCTCTTTCAACTCTATGATTCTACTAATACTAATACTAATATTGTGTTGTGCTAATAATGTAATATATTGTACACATATAATATTGATTATAATATTATAATGTAATACAATATAATAATAATAATACAATATAATAATTATAAATTTCATATTACATGTAATATTACTAATAATATTACAGTACAGTGGTATAGTGCAATATGGGAATGTATGGTACTAATATTGTGCTATGCTAATAATATAATATTATTTGAGGGCCTTTTCTGTGGTGGCCCCTCAGCTCTGGAACGCCCTTCCCATGGAGGTAAGATCAGCCTCCTCGCTGATGGTATTCCGAAGAAGACTAAAAACTTGGATGTTCAAGCAGGCATTTGGTTAATTCGGTGCAATGAATGTGTTGATTACGGATTGGTAATATGGATGATGCAATTGGACCACGATTTTAGTTAGGAGATGTATTGGATTGTGATTTACGTGTAATATTGTGTATTATGTTTTTTATGGTTTTAATTGTATACTGTGCACTGTATATTTTGTTGTAAACCGCGTTGAGTCGCCAGTTAGGCTGAGAAACGGCGGTATACAAGGACAGTAAATAAATAAATAAATATAATATAATATTAATAGTAATATTATAGTGTAATTTAATATAATAATACAATATAATAATTATATATTTCATATTACATATAATATTACTAATAATATTACAATACAGTGGTATACTACAATATGGGAATGTATGGTACTAATACTATGCTATGCTAATAATATAATATATTGTATTTACATGTAATCTGTAAGCCGTTCTGAGTCCCCTTCGGGATGAGAAGGGCAGCATAGAAATGTCGTAAATAAATAAATAAATGCCACAATGTACATATTTCCACAAAGCATCAAGGAACACTTGAGCACAAGGTCAGGCATTGAGCAAGATGGGGGGCCAAGAAGACCACCTTGTCACAGAGTTAACTTCCAGATCGCGACCCAAGAGTGACTAATGCCTCCAGTCCCAAAAAGTCACATTATTTTAGGGAAAGCACTATCTTTTCCAGTATAAAAAATGGATGGATTCCATAACAAGAAACATTTCACCCATATCCTAATATCCAAAAATCTCAATTTCATTTTTTTCAGAGGTTACCTTTTAGTCCTTCTTTCTTCAGCTGTTTCTCACCTGCCTCTTCTATTTCTCTCTTCTTTTTTCCAAACAACACATACTGTAGGAGGTACTTGATAGGTTTGTACTGAATTGAAGAACTCTGCTCCCCTCTGCTGTTTGACAGTGGCATCCTTCATTCCCTTGCATTGGAAAACAATATCAAAAGTGAAAGCAGTGTAATCTAATTGCACCATCTCTATTTTGGCAGGGTGAAGTTTGGATTTTTTTTAATCCTCCAAAGAGGTCATATGACTTCTGAGAAAAGAACTGAAGGGAAATTCCAAATTCCTGTTGAAAAAACCAAACTGTGATATTAGGCAACCAAACTGGAGAAATGCCTTAAAATCATTGACCTTCTCATCTGTTGATCATTCAATTTAGGTTTATCATGTCTCTCTTCCACACACAGAGTATTTCATTCCCAGGCCTTATCTACACTGACTACTTAACTCAGTATGGAGTCGGATCAGACCCCAGACGACTACCCAGTGCATGAGGGC